CCTCCCTCCCCCTCAGCGAAGAGGCTATTTTACATCATTTCCTGTGTTTTCAGTATTTCTGGCTGCTATGGATCTGGAAGTTTCATCTGCCTCTAGAACTTGCACTTTCTTGCCATCTCTGTCTTCACATCTGACATCAAGTGTCAGTCCTGTTACTACTAGCAAAGCCGAGTCCTCAGGGAAATGGAATGGTCTACATTCTCCCATCAGTTTAAAATCAAGACTTAACCTGAGTATAGAGGTCCCATCACCTTCCCAGGTATGTATTTATAGTTGTAAATATGATGTCAGTACAAAAGTAGTTCTACAGTAGGAATGATGTTTTTAAGTTATCAGTACAGCCAAGAAAGGGAAAAAGGGCAGCTTGACAGGGTGGATCATGGTGTTAGTTCCAAATGGGAAACAAGTTCAGGGCAAGATTGTGCTTTTGCAAAGATTTGCGACTCTCGCGGGTTGTAAAACATGGATGAGAAAGCCCGTTCTGTGAACTGCCACTGTCGGCAGCCTCTGGACCTCCCTCTCACAGTTGTGATCACATGGACACAGCTCTGGTCAACAGCCCGGCTTTGCTGCTCATTAGTAGAGGCCTTTTGTCAAAGGTTTCTCTTGCATGATTTGCAAACAGTTCTCTCTATAGGGTAAATGATTTTCCTAACACCAGCTATTAATTCCATTGGTGTGGTCTGTAAACGTGGTACGCTGTTGGCATTTTTGCTTCTTGGAAACTTTACATAGCACTTTAAGCTCTGTTGGGAAAATCAGTTTTCTCTGTTCCCCTAAGTGGTGGGATGTGCTGGCTGTGAGGCCAGGGAAAGGGGCGATTGAGAAATGCTTGCACTAGGTCCCTGGTGCTGGCGAGCTACCCCAAAATGGTGGCTCCTAGCGAGGTAAGACTGGCCTACCGGCGTATGGTAATTGCTTGTTTTCAAAGGGATGGATGGGCAGAGGATTCTAGTGTGTAGGCTGGAGAGTTGAGCTTCTAGAATCCCTTTTTCCTAGCTTGCTGCTCAGACGAATATAATTTATATTTGGGGGCAGACAGTCTCCTGTCTGAAAGGTAAATAAGCCTCTGACCCAGGACTCTTGACCTCATCCCAGAAATGGACATGCACCTTAGGCACTGGCCGCTTCCCCTGGGCAAAGTTTAAGATTTGAGCTTGACAAGGGCCCGCCTGTCTGTCTGTCTGTTCCTGTGCAGGAGGTTCAGTGAGGAGACATGGCTGAGCTGACCCTGGGGTACCGGCCAGGGGCCTGCCCTTGTCATCTCGAGTCCACACATGACCAGCCAGGCATCAGTGGCAAAAGACCAAGATGTTTCAAAAACGTGCTGGTTTGGGGGTGGCTCTCCTAGCTTGATGATCTGCACCTTGAGTTCACTATCCATGATGTTGCAATGGAAAGGAAGGTGGGGCATGAACTCTGGAAATGCATCATCTCAGCATCTGTCTGGTGTCTTACAGCTAGATCAGTCTGTCTTGGAAGCGCTTCCACCTGATCTCCGGGAGCAGGTGGAGCAAGTGTGTGCTGCGCAGCAGGGGCAGCCGCCTGGCGACAGGAGGAGAGAGCCCGTAAACGGCTACAGCACAGGGGTGTTGCCACAGCCAGCTGGGACAGTGTTGTTACAAATACCGGAACCTCAAGAATCTAACAGCGATGGGGGAATTAATGTAATAGCCCTTCCAGCATTTTCACAGGTGAATTGAATTGAGGCCCTTCTACCATAGTGTGAATATCCTCGGCCATCTGGCTCCCAGCTCAGGGCACTTCTCTTTTCCTTTTCTCCTTTGCCCCTTAACCTCCCAGTGGCTGACTCCGTCCCTTGGGGGAGGAGGAATGGCCTGTCTCCGCATCACCTGCGGGACACAAACTGACAGAGCAGCCAAGTATGGACAACAGAGGGCAGAGAAGAGGGAGGCTATGGGGTGTGGGCGCTCACAGCTTCCACCCCAAAGACAGAAACACTCTGTTTCATTGGCCTGAGAAGACCCTGGGCCACACTCAAGTGCCAGGGTGAAGATGTGTAACCTTACACTAGGGACAGTAACACAATCAGAGTTTGATGTTTAAGAAAAACATGACATATGCACCTGTTTTCTTGCGTTTTGCTTCTCATTTCCTACTAGTGCTTCTTGCCCTGGTTGTTCTGCACAGTGTTTTTGTTTTGTTTTTTTAATTAAGTCAATTCACATTCAAAGCTGTATTCCTTATTCTCACCCTATAACCTTGTGAGGATTATTTATGAGCTTTGACACTGAGGACCTAATTCATACAGATCAGAAAAGTATGATTTGAAATAAAGTCTATTTTGTGAAAAATATAAACCAGCCGCCTATATAGAGTCAGCTCAGGTTTGACTTTGAACTTTCTCTTTTCCACCAGGTGGACCCTGAGGTGTTTGCGGCCCTTCCAGCAGAGCTTCAGAAGGAGCTGAAAGCAGCCTACGATCAAAGACAAAGGCAGGGAGAAAACACCCTTCACCCGCAGCAGGCCAGCACATCCGGTAAGCTTTACAAGTGACACGTAACAGAAGTGAAGATGTGAGACATGAAACTGTTGTTTGATTGTTGTAGTATATATATATATGATGGCCCAAGTCTTTAAGCTGTTAGTCATGTTCAGTGCTCTTCACATCAGGGGAACGGAACTAGTACGCAGTACAGGTTAAGTGCTGTCAAGAGTCCTAGGTGGATTTGTATCTGTAGCTTCTTGACTTAAAAGTCTGAACAAGCTATTACCCAGGAATCTTTTGAATTGATTATCTGTCAAGCCAGTTGTCCTTTGAGACCGATCCTTCAGAGGATGTAGGTTTAAAGCCCAGAATGTGAAGATGGTTTCTGAACGTGCGTCACAAATACCACATTTAAAATGAAAACAGAATACTGCCCTGCTGAACTGCTGGAAGGAATTCGCCTGTGAGTTTTCATTGACTGCTGCGAGCCCCGTATAGACTAGCAGGTCCCAAATGTCACCAGTAAGTGGCTGAGCAACCCTAGGAAATGCGGGGCCACCTCAGGGAGGCCTGTGCTGTGTGCGTGCGTGTGTTCAGGGCTGCTCTTGGGAGGAGGAAGGGGCCCGTGCTGCTCTCCAGGCATGTTGTGTTGAGGATCTTATGTCCATCTTCTTTTAGTGCCAAAGAACCCGCTACTGCAGTTAAAACCAGCAGCGGTGAAAGAAAAGAAAAGAAACAAGAAAAAAAGCTCCATCAGTCCCCCCAGAAAGATTCAGAGCCCTTTGAAAAATATGCTGCTTAACAGTCCTGCAAAAACTCTGCCAGGGGCCTGTGGCAGTCCCCAGAAGTTAGTTGATGGATTTCTAAAACATGAAGGTCCTGCCTCTGAGAAACCTCTGGTAATTTCTTTCATGCTTTCTAAACTTTGACCTTCTCCTTCCATCGGATGTTTATGTACTCGATGTTATGTAAATATAGCACTTTCTATTATTTGTTTTCTTAACAGGGAGAACTCTCTGCTTCCACTTCAGGTGTTGCTGGCCTTTCTGGTTTGCAGCCTGAGCCGTCTGCGTGTGTTAGACCCCCAGCACCCAACCTAGCTGGAGCTGTGGAATTCAGTGATGTGAAGACCTTGCTCAGAGAATGGATAACTACCATTTCAGGTTGGCCTGGCTGGTACTGAGATGTGATGTCCTATGACTACAGAACATGAACTCAGCTCTGTAGAGGAACTATTTTCCTAAATCGAATGAGCATAAACCAGCAACCCCCCCCCCCCCCCCGCAACCTTCTGACCTCTGTGGGCGGCTCGGAAAGGTTCCTTACCACAGCCCACTCGTGTGGCAGCTCTGAGTCACTATCGTAGCACATAGTTTCCTTGGTCCCTGCAGATCGCTGCCCTTTCTCCTTCAAAAGCATAAGTTGGTCCTCATTTGAGATTTCTCCCCTCTCTAGATCCAATGGAAGAAGACATTCTGCAAGTTGTGAAATACTGCACTGATCTAATAGAGGAAAAAGATTTGGAGAAACTGGACCTAGTTATAAAATACATGAAAAGGTAACTATTCGGTGCTTTTACCCAAAGGGTAAAAAAGACAGCACGTCTGTCACCACAGCTACTGGAGGGAGGTGATGAGCGAGCCGTGCCCTTTCTGGCCATCAGTTGCGGTATGGTAACTGCTCTTCAGCATTACTGAAAAGGGAAGCCCTGTATTTTGAATGCCAGAGAAAGAGGTGCCGTAACATTGACTGGGGAGCATAAAACGGTCAAAACGACGAGATTGCTCCTCCTCTCAAGGTTTATAGAGTTTAAACCATAGAAGTACGTTTTTGAGTGTATTTATATAGAGACGTTAAAACCCTTAAACCCTAAATATCAAATATATATGTTAAACAGATTCTTGAAGGAATGGTCTTTCCTGATCGCTCGTCTCTCCTCACCTGCAGGTTGATGCAGCAGTCGGTGGAGTCGGTTTGGAATATGGCATTTGACTTTATTCTAGACAATGTTCAGGTGGTTTTACAGCAAACCTACGGAAGCACATTGAAAGTTACATGAACATTACCAGGGAGCCTGCTGCTCTCCGCTAGCTGTGCCATAAGTGCTTGTGAGGTATTTGCAAAGTGCATGATAGTAACGCTCTGAGTTTTATAATTTTAAATTTCTTTTTAAGCCACGTGTTTTTGTACATTTCTTTTCAATAAGTGCCAAATTTGTCAGTATTGCATGTAAATAACTGTGTTAATTCTTTTACTGTAGCATAGATTCTGTTTACAAAATGTTTGTTTATAAAGTTTTATGGATTTTTACAGTGAAGTGTTTACAGTTGTTTAATAAAGAACTGTATGTATATTTTGTACAGGCTCCTTTTTGTGAATCCTTTAGGAAGCAAATCCTGAACTATTACGGCTGGACCGTTACACGCTTCATGCTAAGCTTTGAAATGCCTGAGGGGGCCCAGACTGGTGTTCTACTTGTTCCAAGCAAGGGTAAAGAAAGCTTCCAAATACTCTGATCACGCCTGACCCAAAGCATGAACACAGGAACATGTTAAGAAAATCTTCTTTACTTCTTCCAAGTGGAGGAATTTACATATTTTTGAATTAGAACACACACACAATTGAAGATTAAGTTTTTCCTGGGAAAAATTATGTCCCCCAGATGGTTTAGAGGTTTTGTCTTTGCCTCTACTGGCCCTTGAGAAACTTCAATCATAATGAAGAATGGTCCAGATTTTCAAATGTATATAAAAGTATTTTTCTATGCTATATGTTATGCCGTAACACTTTAAAAATAGTTTATAATTCTATGCCAGTGAATACTCAGGAACATTTTCTTCCAACACCCCACACTGACTTCATTCAACACTGTGCTATAAATAGGTAGTCAGATATTAGGGATCTGCCAGAAGAATTACTCTGATGCTAATAGATCTCTTACCTCAGGGACCCACTTCCCACATTCTTCAGGAAAACCATAAGAAACTAGCTTCAATCAATCAGACTAATATGAAGAAACCACTATGATGCCTCTGTAACAACTCCATGTTCACACTAAGTCCAAACAGGTAATCAACACCCTATTGATTGATTGTCTCATCAGAAAATGTATGCATGATGGAATTTGCTAGGACAAAACAGACCAAGATGGAGGTATAAGAATTCCTAATGTTCACATGTGCTGGTACACGAGGTACGATAGTTAATAAAAACAGTCTGAGAGAACGAGCTGCACGGGGATGGAGACCCGCAGGAGAGCAGCTACGCTGACACGAAGCCTAGCAGAGCTCGCGGGTCAACGTCTGGGGTCTTTATTGGAGTTCAGAACTGTGCTGATTACAGTGGACTCTCACGACCACACAAGCAGTAAGTAGCAGCCAGTTTTGCTTTACACCGTGGTTTCACACAAAGCAGATAAATACCAGAACGCCTAATCTTCTATCTTAAAAAATTCCTAAGGGCATATGGCAGAAGAACGCATGGGGGGAAAGAAAAAAAAAACCACCACTGTGGGAAGGGTATGCATAAATAAGTATTTCTTACCTCAAAAAAGTCCCAAGTATCAGAAAATCTGCAGAAGCTTGGTTAATCAAATACTGCAGTACTGATTTAATCAGTATAAAATTGAAAGAGCTTTAGATCTGTAATAAAAATCCAAATTTGGGGAAGGGCAACCTTTAAAACAGCAGCCAGTAGAGGAGGACTGGGAAAGGCGTGGACGAGTGCGCAGGCACGCCGGAGCTGTGGGGACGTGTAATCGACCACTGTCAAACCAGTGTAAGTTTCTTGGTTTCTCATGGAAAACATCTTATACGCCTATTTTTTTTCCTTCTATGCTTAATTAGTTCATCAGTTTTCAGATAGGTCCATTCCATTTTTTGCCTTGTTTTTCTTGGTAGTATCACAACATCATTTTGCATTTATTCCAATTCCTGACCCGTGTGGAAAAATTAGATGATTTCAAATACTTTCTTCAGCTCCACAATAAGCTGCCAGTCACTCTTCTGCATCTCGTCTCTGAACCAGTCTTTGAGGGCGTCGATGGACTGCCTGCTGATCTGTAAGGCCCAAGGCACACAGTGAACAAAACAATGTAACAAGTGCCAAAGAGGAGCATGTGGCCCCGGAGTTTGTTACCAGATCCTGCTCATCACAGATGGAAAGCTCAGGCAGAAACTGCCAAAGCAGAGCCTGCCTGCCTGCATTTTCTGGGAGCAGAATGCCAGCACATCTGTTTGCTGGGGATCCGACCTAGAGTCCTAGCGGGCACTCTGTCAGGAGGCCAGGCTACAGGCCAAGCCCTCAGCTCCTGAGTAAAGGCCATCAGAAGAGCCGACGGCCCCCTTTCTTAAAAGGGGCCACTTTTGCTGAGTGAGATACTTACCTTACTGACGATAATATCTGTAGCTTCAAAATGTCTTCCGTACATTTTGGGAGATTCACCAGGGATGGGTTCTATTTTGACACAGACTTCCTGTCCTTTTTTTGCAACATCCACTTGTTTATGGTTTACTTCAATACTTGTTACTATTCCAATGTCAACAAACTGTAAAGTAATAACAGAAACTACGATGTGGGCAGAGGAATCGTGGCAGTCACAGGCGCCCAAACTGGACAGCTGATGTAACTGGAGCGAATGAGCCAGCTGCAGAGCCTGGGCCCTGTGCCCCTCTATCACCTTGGTCTCTGGGTCTCTCCGCAGTGTGATTTTTCTCACTGGAGAACTGGGGGTGATACCACCCCACCCCGTCTGCCTTCACAAGATGGCTGTGAGGACAAAAGGAGGTCGCTCGTGTGCTTTGGGACACGTGGAAAGTGCTCTGTCCATCCGACGTGTTTCCACCCTGCCCTTCCACATGACAGCTCCCAGAGTAAGAGAGGCCAGCAGGCACACAAGTTCTGAGTCAGAAATGAGCTTGGGGTGATGGGGATGCAGGCAGAGAGGCAGGGACCCGTTGCGTGTGCCCCGGCGGCCATGCTGAGAACTCTGCTGCTCATTCTGAGGATGCGACCTGACCTCAGTCACAGTCTGGGGAAGGCAACAACAACAACATCCCACTCTGCTGCCTGGGCAGCGAGAGTAAAAACAGGTAACCTGGTTTGGCCGAAGCCACACAGGAGATAACTGCTGTCACTAAGTGTCCTAGCTTAGCCACTGGCAGAGAAGCATGACTCCTAGAAGCAGTGAGTCACAGCACTCGGAGGACGTCAGGTGCCGTCTCCCACTAAAGGAACCAAGTCGGGGGCAGGGAAAGTCCTAGATGAGCCTGGAGCACCTTACTGCACCACAAAGGAACAAAGGGCCCCAAGTGCTATGTGCAAGGACACAAGGCAGCTTGAACGGGCTCCCAGTGACCAAACGCTGGATAACGGGGGTCTCAAAAAAAAACCCGGCGTGTTTCAGATACCTAATGAAAAGGCCGGGGTGGGGGATGGTTCTTTACAGCAGCGTGTGGGAAGGGGGATCACAATACTGCCACCATCCATGTCATAACTACTCAGGCGAGGACTGTCAGTGGTGGTTAAAGCCGCTGGGAAGCTCACAGGGACTCTCAGTGCTCCAGGTGACTGAGCCAGTACAGCGGGCGAGGATCTGTCTCTGATGGCGATGCTGAGCTAACAGCACCTTCTCTGATCACCCAGGTTTGCACTGCGACAGTGACAACCCGTGTGACAATTCAGAGGCACGTAGGAGCACCTGTGTGTACAGTATCCTTCCCAATCATTCTAACTTGCATCTAGTCACAAGGGAACAACCAGACAAATCCAAGCTGAGAAATCATCTGTGGAACTGCTGTTCTGGACTCTTCTTTAAAAAGAATGGCAGACCGTTCATCGTTGAGACTAAAACACTAATAACCAAATGCAGTGCACCTCGAAGGAGCCCTGGGCCAGGTCAGCAAGCAGCGTTACTAAAGACATTTGGGACAATTGGTAAAAAGTGAATGTGAACTGTGAACTGTGAACTACAGGATTTTATGGAATTAATGTTATTTTCTCTTAGCTATGATGCTAGAGGAAAGACATGAGTGTCCATTATACTATTTTTTAAGCTTTCCCCAGACTCAAAACACCAAAAACTTTTGAAGGGCAATAATTCTGCAACTTTCACTACCTGAAGCACTGACACCAGGTGCTTGAGAATCAACACTGATTAAGGAACACTGATACTGAATTTGTATAAATTACAGGAGGTGACAAGCTCTGCTTGATTTCAGTTTTTTATCACTCTTGACTCCCAGAACTGCTTTAAGAGATGACACACTTTCTAAAAAGTACAACCAGAACTTACATTTTTGCTAGGCACGCACATGGGTGTCCCCTGCTTCACCTGGCCTGCTTCCACAGTCACGCCCATCACTATCGGATCTCGAGAATTGAAAATAAACTGAGGCAGAATTTTTATCTTGCAGGGAAATACTGCTATGTGCCTAAAAGGAAAAAAGAAAACCCAAGAATTTTTAAGCTTACAAAATCACTTCGAAGCATAAAAAAGCAAATGCAGGTGAATATGAGGCTGCTTCTCCCCTCAGCTGAGGGCAGCAGGAAGGCCACACATCGGCGCTCAGGGGTCCCTAGGGTGCTGCATCCTCTCTTCATCCTCCTCCCTCCCCTCAAAGCAGCTGCATCACAGGAGCACGCTGGGCCCAGACCAAAGGCTGAGCCCCGCCCCTGAAGATGGAGCTTGAGTGCCTCGGTGGAATCCACCATCAGGTGTGTCCTGGGGCCCGTGTGAGGCCTATTCTGAGGACCACACTGGTATCAAACCACATCCTCCTTTTCTCTACCACGTTCCCAAATCAGTTGATCCAAAAGGACACTATTTCTGTGCTTATGAAGCATATGCTTAGAATGCTTTAATGGTTTGTAGCATTTTCTTAATCAAACTTCAGTCTTTCCCTTTCAGGTTTCATGATCTAAAGTGAGCACACCTCAATCTAAATCCCAGTATTTACCAGTCTGCTTTTAAAATGCACCTCAGACTGAGCCGTCCCTCCCTCTGGTCACGCTGGTCTGAGCCTCCACCACGTCCTGCCTGGACTACGGGGGCCTCCTGACAGGCTCTAACCAGCAGCCCCCTAAACCCCGCCTGTGGCCTACGGGGTCCTACAGGATATGGGTGCTGCCAACTTCTCTACCGCAGCTCCTGCCACCCTCCCCGAGGGTCACTGTGGCTGCCTCCACCTCTGAACACGGCCCTGCTGGCCGGCGTTGTCCTTCCACCTGACACCTCCCGGGTGTCTGGGCGGCTCGCTTCACTCTCCCCAGCTGAGCTGCCTCCCCACCACACTATTAACCACAGCTCTCCTCGCCTTATCTAGGCCCTGCCCTGCTTCATCCTGCGCTTATCCCAACTTCTCATGTGTTCTTCACTTGTCTTCCCCTAAGCTCCGAGAGGCAGGGACCTGGTCAGGTCCATTGACAAGGACTCCCCAGCACCACAGGCTCTGTCAGGTTTGCTCGAGGAATGACACCTGGCAAGGAATGCCTCGCCTCCTTTCTCTTTCTAATTTTCCACACTCTCACGGTGTTACCTCCATTCCATGCAACCCCAGATGAGGAACTCCAGGCAAGATAAAGTCCCCAGATGTAGCAACTACTCACCCATTAACGCAACCTAGGTCTGCCAAGTTAAAATTAAAAACTAAGCAGAAATGTTACAGAGAGGATTCGTTCACACACTGCTAGAGTGTCTCAGGTGGGCCAAATCTGTGGCGTATAACACACCACCTGAGGATGCAGCTTCTGGGAGAGGAGCAAGTGCCATGCTTCTGTTGTCTACACACCTGGCTGGTATTTGGAAATCCTCAAATAATCAACTTTATTACCAAAGATCCAAAGTAGGTAAAAATCACCAACTTACTTAAATTCTTCTTGTTTCTGTTTCTTGTAGTCTTGTCTATATTTCGTAAAGGCATCAAATAAATGATAAATAATTTCTGCACTAAAAATTCTAACTCCTAAACCGTCAGCCATTTCTTGCGCATCCCGTTCAATTCTCACATCAAAGGCCAAAATTACTGCATACCTAAAAGGTTAAAACACATCAAAGATCATTCAATGAAACACAGACCATGTCATAACAGTTCTACTAAAATAAAATAGATAGGCAACATAAAAGCCTTTACAGCAGAAGAGAAATTACTTACTGAGGATCATGTTCCAACATCACCGAAGCCTTCATAACATCTTTTTTATGGACTGGACCAATGTTAATTCCTGCATACTGTAAAAAGGGAGTTTCCTAGTTTAACTGCCTGTGTTGGGTAACAGGAACAGCGCCATAAACTATGCCGACCACTGACTCTCGTGGAGTCGGGTACCATTACTTACGGGCACTTCTGATGTTTTCAGAAATTCAAGTAGAGCTTCCAAAGATCCCAGTGTAGATGCCTGGACATAGACTCCTTTCTCTTCTAATTTGATAGCATTTAGTGTCTGCTTTAACTCATGGATCAGTTCATCCTTGAAAAAAGATTACATTTGACAAGGTTATAAATACACCTCTATCTCAGCAGCCTAGAATTAAACTGTTCCTGTTTTTGATTAGGTGTTCATCTGAAAATAAGAAACCAAGGCTTAGGACGGGCAAGGCATGGCAGAACCTGTACGGGAAAGGAAGGAGAGATTTGGCGGCCATAACTGAGCTGTATCCCACTTCACCTCTGTCTATGTTAGGTTTACTAATGTCGAAATATGTTTAACCTCTGCACCACTTGGCAGAGTAGATGGGTGAATGAAATGACGTGATAAATAAGAATCTTCTAAATTTAAATAGTACTACATGAATGTAATATGTTACAGTAGCCCAAAGGTGTTTAATGATGAAATACCCTAATCTCAGCAGCCCTTTACTCCATCATCACTCCTTTGAAGGTGAAGAGATTTTGACCAGAAATAAGTAAAACAACCATGTCGATGCCATTAAAGATGTACAAGTCCACCCATACTCAAGACTGGCCACAGGGATGCCTGCCCTGTTCTCATAGGCCCTAAGGGGGCCGATTCCCTGGCGACAGTGACTGGTTGCTGCCTAAAGAATAATGGTCCCAGCATAGGACAAGAGCCATGTGCTGGGAACAGTGGTATCTTCTCTTTGGCAAGAGAATAAATATGTCTCAATGTTTGCTTTTGTGAAACTCCGCTGGGCTCATGTGTGCCATCTGTTCCTGAAAATAGGCAAACAGGCTTTAAAATGACTCCTAAAACCTAGTAAGAGATTATTTTAGTTCCATCTACATAGCTGAGTATCTTTAAAAAAAAAAAAAAGGAATTAGCTTCTGGTTCATTTTTTATTTAAATAAAATGTTCTAACTTGAATATATATAAATTATCATTTATTCATTGATTTCAGGGTTAATTTCTATCATTTCTTTCTATTTACATTTGTCTTCATTGTTCTTTTTCCAGTTTCTTAAGATGCTAATTCATGATTATACAAAGTGAAATAATTTAAAAGCATCAACTGTTTGTTAAGAGACCACCAGGTAAGTCTTCCCAAAGACAAAGATGCCCATTTTATTCATCATTCTTAGCGTGTGCTCTACTGACACAAGGTACAACTCAAAACAGCTTTGGAGGAAAAAAAATAACTTACTTTAAGAACTGGGATTTCATCTTCTTTATAAGCCACAAGGAGGGGTAAACCAGCCAATGTTTTTTCCAGGTCTTTTCCAAGAATCTTTACCCCCTGAGCTGCTTCTACTTCTTTATGCTTTTCATATTGGTTCTACAGAGATCAAAACATTTGTTATCACGTTTATTTGAAAAGTGGTTAGTGGTAGAAGACGATGTAAGACGATACTGTCATGACCTTGGGACAGGGCAAGATTTCTTTAAACTAGATACAAAAAGCAGTAAGTGCAAATGGAAGACTGATAAATTCAACATTAAAGTTAAATAATTCTGTTTCTCAAGCTACTACAGAATGAGTAAAAAGACAAGTCACAGAACAGAAGGTGCATACAAACCAGTAACATACTAGTAACTAGCTACCAGTGTAGAACGAAAACAATGTACTTTTGATTTTTATGAGAAACTTAGTTGGTAAACAAGGACTTTCACACATCTCTACTCTGATGGATGGTCCCTCCTGTATGAAGACACCTACAATAAAACCAGTGAAGGGTGTGTGTTGTGTATTAAGCCAGGTGGCTCTTGAAGTGAGGAAACAACCTCAGTAGAATTTTTAAACACTGTGCAAGTCCACACGTGCCAACGCTTACCACCCTGACTTACCTTTACTCTTAACTCCTTCATAGGAGGAGGTAATAGGAGGCCTCGAATCTGAGTGACAATGGGCCCTTCTACTCCGGGAACAATAATTGTATCTCCTTCCTTTAAACGCCCGTTGATCAATATTACATCTATAGTGGTGCCCATCCCTGGGAGAGCCTTAACCTAAGAGACATTTATTGCAAAGGGAGTGAAATATAGGCTACAATGCACCATGTTGAGATTAAATCTAAATTAGTAGACATCCCCACCCAAGAACCCTATTTGGGGGTTGGTGGGGGGAGGAATAAACTGAAAAGCTGACAGTACCTCCATCACCTGTGCTCTCAGCTCTTCACAGTGTGCAAGTCTCTTATTCAACATGGTCTGAGTTAACTCGACAAGAAGGTAGATCAGACTTCCCATGCCATCACCAGTATGTGCAGAGGTAGGTACCAAGGACACAAAAGTGCGGGGATCTTTATTCTCATAAAACAAAGCTGCGTTCAACCCCTAGAGACATAAAAAGCAAAGTCATTCCCACAGGCCGAGTGGTGGAAGGAGGTGTCCAGAACAGAAATGACTAACTAGAAGCTGGATGAATAATGGCTCTTCATTCTGAAAAATCCTCAAAAACACTTAGATCATGTATATCCTGGAGGTATTAACCATATCGCAGAAAAGTAGTTTCTTTCCAAGTCAATTTGGTTTTTCAAAGTTAAACATTCAGACTACAAAGAGAGGTCTTGAAATAAAGATTTTAAAAGGAAAAGGGAGAAGGGAAAAGAATGAAAATGCTAATTGCCATTAATAGGGGAACAGAACCAGTATTAATGAAAATAGTGACTTAATTATAAAGACAATGTAAAAGAAGAAAAAATATTCTATGATATAGTCTCTTCGTAAAGAAGGGAAAGCTTTCTTACCTGCTGTGCAAATTCCACAATAATAGCCTTTGCTCGCTCCTCAAATTCATCTCTTGTATTCTTTTTCTGCTTCTTTAAAGTAGCAGCCACATCACAGTCGGGGCTCTTTTTCCAATCATACAACCTATCAATCTGGAAAAGTATTTTTCGTAAGAAACATCTCTAAAGCATTCACAACACTCAGGAAGTTAATTAAGGTTAATTTAAAAGCTCCAGAAAATTCCAAATGCATATCACACATATCTGGAAGAGTATTACTTTCATTGCACCAAAAGCCCCTCAGTCTGCTCAACCGCACCCCCTCTTAAATGTGAAGTGCCACACTGCCTACCAGCCTCCAGCCAGTTCATGGGAGGCTGCCATTTCCTGCAAAAGATGAAAAACTAGAATTATCCTGGGAACATTAACATATGTTGGAATTCCAAAATGGTTATGTTAAGTAGTATGCAGGAAAAAGGATTAATTACAGCCAAGTACCATCACCAGGAAAATGACATGAAAAATATAGAAAATAATCTATTTTCCTTCACTTTTCAAAAGATGATAAATGGGTATAAAGAAGATTATTTAAGAGTAAAAACAAACAAAAAGGCATAATATATTGGCTCATTCTAGGGTGATAATATAAAAAAGCAGACCAATCTGATTGCTATCAAAAAGGAAAATCAGTAAGTAGAAATAGACCCAGAAATGACAATGATGGTATATAATTAGCATACAAGGGCCTTAAAATAGTTATTATAAATATATTCAATGACTTTAAAGGAAAAACATGTAACTTGTAGAGCTAAAATATATATATATATATATATATATATATATATATATAAAAAATATGAAATGAAAAAAAATAAATCACTGGATGAGCTGAAGCAAATTACATATTGCCAAAGATCAGCAACCTTGAAGATAAAGCAAATAAAAACTATCCCAACCAAAGCAGGTAGAGAAAAAAGGATGGAGAAAAGAAAAACCTTCAGTCACTATGAGACAATATTAAGAGAAGTAAAGTCCTAGAATTCTATCAAACACTTAAACAAGGAAAGAGTAAGAAAAGAGAGCAGAAAAATAACTGCACAAGTAATGACCAAGAACTTTCTAAGAAAGTCAAACTCAAGTGGGATAAATATAAAGAAAACTATTATATAATCTCACTGACAAAACTCTTAAAGAAAAAGTCTTTTTAAAAGCAATCAAAAAATCCCACATTACATACTGGGGAACAAAGAATGAGTAGAGATAAAAGCCAGAAAATGAAGATGATGAAGGAAAAAAATATTTTTTAAACCTAGAATTCTATATCAAGTAAAACTATTCAGAAAATATTTTGACCTAAATGATAAATAAAAACACAGTATGTCTAAGCAGTGCTTTTAAGCATACCTTTAAATGCTTACATTAGAAAAGAAAAAAATATCTGAAATCAAATCATCTAAGCTTCCATCTTAAGAAACTGGTAAAAGAACAATGAAGACAAATGTAAGTAGAAAGAAATGATAGAAATTAACCCTGAAATCAATGAAATACAAAACAAACTAGAGAATATCAATAAAACCAAAAGCTGGTTCTTTGAAAGACACAAATTTCTACACAAATTTCTATACTGACAAAAGTAAAAAGCCTAAATAACCTAAACTTAGCTTAAATTCCATGCTGATGGTGCTTTACTAGTGAATCCTATCAAACACTTAAAGAATAATTATCATTTCTACACAAACCCTTTCAGAAAACAGAGGAGGAAATACTTCTCAACTCATCTTAGGAGGCCATTACTCTAATAGCAAAACCAGACAAAAGATATTAAAAGAAATCTACATACCAAAATCACTCATGAAAATCTCCCCCCCAAAATTAGCAAATCAAACCCAGCAATATATGAAAAATATATCATGACCAAGTGGAATTTGTTCCAGTAACGCAAGGTTGGTTTAACATTTAAAAAATCAATAGTAAAGAACAAATGGTGCTGGAACAACTGGACGTCCACAGGCAAAACACTGAATACAGACACAGACCTTACACCCTTCACAAAAAAATTAACTCAGAATCGATCACCTAAGTGTAAAACACCAAACTCTAAAACTCCTAGAAGATAACAGGAGAAAACCCAGATGACTTTGGCCACAGTGATGACTACGGAGATACAACACCAAAGGCATGATCCATGAAAGAACTGATGAGCTGGACTTAATTAAAATTAAAAACTTCTGTGAAAGAGAGTCAAGAGAGTGACATTACAAAGCACAGACTAGAAGAAAATATTGGCAAAAAACCACATCTGGATAAAGGAATGGTATGTAAAGTATACAAATAACTCTCAAAATTCAACAGTAAGTAAACTAAGAATCCAATTTGAAAATGGGCCAAAATACTTAACAAAAAACACCTCACCAAAAAAGATATAAAGATGGCAAATACATACATGAAAAGATGTTTCGCACCTTTTGTCACCAGGAAGATACGAATTAAAACAAGATACCACTACACACCTATCAGAATGGCCAAAATCCTAAAGCACTTACAATAGCAAATGCTGGTGAGGATGTGGAGTGACGGGAACCCTCATGCACGACCGGAGGAAATACAACATGGTGCAGCCACTTTGGAAGACAGTTTGGCAGTTTCTTACAAAACTAAACATTCTTACCATACGGCCCAGCCATCGTGCTCGTTATTTACCCAGGAGTTGAAAACTTATGTGCACACAAAAGTCTACAGCAGCTTTATTCATAATTGTCAAGACTTGGAAACAACTAAGACATCCTTCAGTGGGTGAATGGATAAACAGGTTCATCTAGACAATGGGATTACCACTCAGTGCTAAAAGAAACGAACTATCAAGCCACAAAAAGACACGGAAGAAACTTTAATCCATATTACTAAGTGAAAGAAGATAATCTGAAAAGGCTACATACATACTGTAGGATTCCAACTATATGACTACTCTGGAAAGGGCAAAACTATGGAGACAGTAGAAAAATCAGTGGTTGCCAGTGGGTAGGAGGTGGGGGGATGAATAGGCAGAGCACAGAGGATTTTTAGGGCAGTGAAAAGGCTGTATAATTCTATAATGGTGGATACATATTATGATACATTTGTCCAAACCCACAGGATGCACCACACCAACAGTAAATTCTAAGGTAAACTACGGGTTCATCAATTGTAGCAAATGTACCACTTGGGTGGGTATATTGATAATGGGAAAAGCTATGAGTGTGGGGGGGGGGCGGGGGATATATCAGAAATCTCTGTACTTTCCCCTTAATTTCTCTGTGAATTTAAACCTGCTCTAAAAAATGACATGTTTTTTAAATAGCAACAAACTTCTCACACCCTCAACAACATGGATGAAGTCACAGAAGCATAATGTTAAATGTAAAAAGCCAGACACAAAAGAACATATTCTGTCAAATTTGATTTACATGAAGTTCAAGAAACAAGCAAAACTAACCCATGGGCACAAAATTTGGAACAGTGGTTGCTATGAGGGGCTGGGGATTGACTGGAATGGGGCATATTGGTACTTCTCGGGTGATGCAAAGTCTGATGTCTTAATTTGGGCTGTGTAACAAGGATGTATATACATTTATCAAAACTCAATTTCACACTTAAGTTCTGTGCATTTCACTGTATATAAATTTTACCTCAATTTTAAAAATAAGGATATAGCAAATTTACAGAAAGCATAAAAATATTTATGTCACAGCTTTTCCACCTGGTAATAATAATTAACCTGTTTTGAACCCTTACTTTGATCAGATACTAGTCTTAACACTTGACATGTTTTATCGCCTCTAATTCTTACAAAAATCCAGTAATGCTCTGTTTTGCAGGCAAAAAGGGGCTAATTAAGGACCCTCTTTATACAGTTTGAAGTGCCAAAGCCAGGATATGAACCCAAGATTCAAACCCTGGAAGCCAAGCTCTTAACCACTGTCCCACTCTGCTAACTCAGAGCTCCTAGGATGTAGTTTCTCTGGAGACAATAACGAAACTAGAAAGAGCAAGTGACTAAGGTAGTGCCTGCAGAGGAAGAGCAGACTGAGATCCTGTTAGACTGTCATCTTCACTAGAAACGTTCTAGGAATGAAGAGCAAATGGAGATTTCCAAGATACAACGAAGACTGCAATCTTAGGGTCACCGTGCCTGCTTAATCCAGATTTGCCCACCACTGGCAAATCCACACTCAAGTCAGAGGTCAAAAGCATAGGCCTGTAGAGAACTCCTAAGGGAGGATGTGTCTGCGTTTGAACAAAGTAACTATAACTTTAGAAAATAAATGAAGATTCGAAAATGACCTTCATAAATTAGAGAAACTGGATTAAACACAAACAGTTAAACTCCTAGAAGAAAGCAAAATTAACAAAATGAAGTGGAAGGAAATGGTCTACTAGGTGTGTACACTGTATAATAAAAGACTCGGAAACTTATAAGCTCAAACTGAATTAAAGCAACCCATGAAATCTTCTCTCTCCAAAGTTAATACAACAGTTGGAAGTAATACATGCCAAGTGCCCATTACCTACTAGGCACTCAGTAAATTCTTGTTATTGCTATTTAACAGGATTCATGACTTAGAAAAGAGAGAAAACAACCCTATCTCTGCAACTGGTACAGATCAGAGCTTAATGAGAATTGTCATCTCTCCTTTAAAAAAAAAGTGACAAACTTAGAAAGGGTTCAGTTTACAAAGGTCTTCTAGTGAAGCTGTGGCTGGGAAGAAGGCTTAGTGGTCAGTCTCCTCTAGATTTGTCCAAACCCACAGAGTATACAACACCAAGAGTGAACCCCAATGAAAACGATGAACTCTGGGTGATAATGATGTGTCCAAAGGAGGTTCATCAGTTGTAACAAATGCACCTCTTTGGTGGAGGACACTGGGAACGGAGGGGGTTGTGCGTGTGTGAAGACAGGGGTATACCGGAAATCTGTACCTTCCCCTCAGTTTTGCTGTGAACCTTAAAGTGCTCTAAAAACAATAAAGTCCTGATAACAAAAAGTAAAGCCCCTCACCCCCACAGCAACAGCAATTCAGGCTGTTACCGAATAAAGGAGAAAAACCACATAAGCATATCAAGAGATGCAGAATGAGCATCTGACAAAAATCAACAACCATTCCAGACTTAAAAGAAAAAACAATACTAAGCAACCTAGGAATAGAAGGGAAATTCCTCAGTTTAATAAAGTGCATTTACATCTGACATCATACTTAATGGTAAGTATGGAGAAGAAACAAGGATGTCTGTCACCACTTTTATTCGACATTGTTCTAGAAGGTCTAGTTAGTGCAATAAGGAAGAAAAACATTTATAAATTGATAAAGGATACAGATAAAGGAAAAAGTGTAACAGTTTTTATTTGCAGATAACATAATCACGTATATAGAAACTCCCACCCGAGCTACAAAAGCTACTAGGCCTAATCAGTGAATTTAAAAGGTCACAAGATAATAAAACTGGAGCATATTGTCAAGACAAAGTAAAGTAAAGTAAATGTAGAGACAGACATCATGTTCACTGATTGGAAGGCTCAATTTTGTTAAAATGTCCATTCTCCCAGAATTTATCTACAAATACAACCCCAATAAAAATCCCGGAGGGAAGAAACTAACAAGCTGATTCTAAACTTTATATGGAAATTCAAGGACCCTGAAATAACCAAAACAATTTTGAAAAATAAAAAGTTGAAGAACTTAACCACCACCTGCTTTCATGACGTTATTATGAATCTGCAATAATCAAGACAGGGTAGCAGTGGCACAAGGACAGACATATAGGTCAATGGAAGAGAAGAGAAATACTAAGAACAAACATGTACCTACATGGTCAATTAATTTTCAACAAAGACTGCAAAGTAATTCAATGGGGAAAAGAATAATCTTTTCACAAGGGGTTTTTGAAGTAGATATACATTTGGAAAAAAGTTAACCTTGACCCTACCTTACACCATGCACAAAACTAACTTAAAAACATCATAGATCTAAATGCTGAATATCTAGAAACACTGGAGAAATTTTTCATGAACTTGGGGTGGGAAAAGATTACTTATATAGAACACAAGCGACAAATTATAAAAAAAAATAATTTCTCATAAATTGATTTTGCTAAAATTAGAAGTTTCTGCTGCTCTTCCAAAAACCTCATTAAGAAAATGAAAAACTAAGTCCTTGACTATAAGAATATATCTGCAATACACATAACTGACAAAGGACTTCTATTGACAATATAAAGAACTCTTAAAACTGAATTAAGACAACTAACAATCGAATAAAAATGAGCAAAGGATTTTGAATAGATACTTCAGAGAGACAGAGATGGAACAAGTACATGAAAAGATGTTTGATGCCATTAGTCATCATGGGAATGCAAATGAAACCAGTATACTTTGGCACTACACACTCATTAGAATGGCTACAGGTAGGGTTAAGTGTCGGCAATAATGTGCAGAAACTGGAACTCTTCCAAATTGTGGGTTAAAAAATGTAAAATGGTACAATCTCTTTGGGAAAATGTGTCATTTTCTCATAAAGTTGAACATATACCTACCATATGACCCAGCAATTCTATTCCTAAATATTTACTAAAAGTAAAGGAAAATAAACGTCTACACAAAGACTTGTGTAAAAATGTTTATAGCTGCTTCACTAATAACCTAAAATTGTAATCAATCCAAGAATCCTTCAACAGGTAAATGGATCAAGTGTTAAGATGTATTAGCCAGATGATGAAATATTACTGAATAATAAAAAGGAACAACCTATGACCTATGCAACAACACGGATAAATTTATATTAACATGAGTAGTGAAAAATGCCAGACTCAAAAGATTATACACTGTATAATTCCATTAATATGAAATTATAAAACAGGCAAAACTAGTCTATGGCAGCAGAAAGAAGGCTGGTGTGTTTCGGGGTGCAGAAGGGGCACACTGACTGTAAAAGAACATGAGGGAGCATTCTGGGAATATGGAGGTAAGTCTATATTCTGAATGACGGTGGTTAAATGTGCGTATAATTTTGTCAACATACATTGAACTGTACACTTAGTGTTAAGTGCATTTTCTTACATGAAAGTTATACTACATTTTTTTAACCACAAAAAAATAAGAAGCATATTTTCACAACTTAATTTTTCAGAAGGAGAGCTTACCTTATTGAGTGCAACAATGAAGGGACATTTTTTAGATTTCAAAAGGTTGATAGATTCAATTGTCTGGGGCTCCAAACCGTGCATAATATCAACAACTAAAATGGCAATATCACAAAGAGAGCTTCCTCTGTTTCTCAGATTACTGTTGGAAAAGAAAAAGATGTATAAATAGAAATCTTGCAATTAATACTTTTATTTTAAAAACTTAAAATTTTAATTTCTTTGTAAAACCTAAACAAAAAAGAACAAAATGAAGTACATGCATTAAATTCAAGTGCCATTAGCCCTTAACTTGCCAAATGCTTATCTGACAGTGAATTGACATCAGTTGGAATGACTTAGTTCCAGAAGTTACTCCATTATTTCTGCCAATTTTACTGACCAAGTTTTTTGCGCTAAGGAACATAGCCAAGAGGTAACAGGACAAAATTCCACCTGTAATGGGTTTCATAGGAGATAGACCAGGTATGTATTAGGATTTGCTCTTTCAAAGTGGAAAAGACTTCTCTCTACAAAAAACAAGTATCCAAATAAAGTACTACTAAATCAGTGAGGCACAGATGAGGATTGGCAGTTACAGGGAGCACAGACCTCAAAACAGTACCCCAAGACTAGCAATTAGTTAGAACTCCTCACTCACTGAACTTTGAGACTTAATGGTTTCAAGCAGTTTGCCTGATGACAAAAGACACAAATCATTCTTACCTGAAAGACTCATGCCCCGGAGTGTCAATAATCAGCATTCCTGGAATCCGTAAATTCTCTCTATTAAACTAGAAAAGGTGGGGGAAAGTGGAGAGCTTAACAAAGCCAAAACAATGAAAGCTTCTTTACAAAACAATTATTCTGCCATGAAAACTTCAACATCACTTCCTTTTCCAAATGAACTGTTTTAAAACTGTTTCAACCAGCAAAGCACAACAGTTAATATTTTCATTAATATCAAAAGGAATTTTTCAGAAAAAAAACTGAAATGAGAAAATATTCCCCTTGTTAAAGTTATATAACTGATGTAGTCTAAATCTGGACAGATTATTAGTAAGTTACATAGTAAGTGACAAATGACAGAGTAGTCATCCGAGAGTGATTATTTATAAAAAGCTGACACAGAAGAAGAGGTTCTCCGTATCTGGAAAATGTATCCGGTCCAATTTTAAAGCAATTCTAAACTCTGAAAAATATCTCAAAGCATGTTTTAAAGAAAATTTACCACATCAACTTAAAATATTAAAGAATAAGTTCATACCCTGGTTTATTCAAATACTATCCTCAACACTTGATTTTCTGGACAAAAGCACACAAATGAATGGAAACAACATTACAACAAGCCAGATATGGACGTCCTCCTTTAATCTAAAGAGTAGCACTGACCAACAAATCTCTCTCACACATACACACACAAAACTTTTTTCTTTGCTTATCTATACTTTTGTCAATCTTCAAATGATTTTCCAAAATCTTATCCAGGGATCTAGGTCAAAATGATTCAAATGCAAAACATTTCAATTTTGCATTCTGGTGGTCTTAGATCAAAATTCACCATAATTATTTCCACTTCGCTGTCTGGAATACAAACAACATAATGACAATTGCCATATAAAGGTTATCCTGAGAACTTTCATACAGGCCTAATAAAAATCATGCTTTTTAACTATGTGCTAAAATAACACCAGATTTAGAGTCTGGAAACTGGTGGAATAAGCTGTTATAAACTCCCCAGTGACTAGCACAGAAAAGTAACAGATAGAAACAACCAAAATAAAATTTAAATTACAAATTCAGAAAACTGTAGTTCAAGAAAACTGTCCTAAAATAAAGATTTTAAACTACATACTGAAATGGAACACCATGTAACGGGAAAACTGACCCAGAACAACCAAAAGCAAGATGCAAAAAGACTACATAACTTATACGAGGATGAAAACCAGCTTGTAATCAAACTTGCAATGCTTTCTGTCAGAAGAAATTGGAGTAACAGTCAAGATACTTAAGGAAAGAAAATGTGAACCAAAGATTTTACATGTAGCCAACTAACTTTCCAGGATGAAGACCACAAAGTAACTCTTAAATATTTAAAAAACTCAAGTAATATTATTCCCATTACTCCTTCTTCAGCAATCTACCAGAAAACAAGCTGCATAAAACAATTTCAAACACACAAAACAAAAACTGAGTGATAAGCTCACAGACCCTTTCTATACACAGAACTGAGACTAAATAAGGAATGAAGAGAGATACCAGCATGTAATAACGTGCTATGTGTTACATCAGACAGCACGATGTAACCAAACACAAATAAGACTACTAGAACCTGTATCAAAAAGACTCAGAAGCCAATCACTGGGCAAAGATGGAACTATCTCAGCACAACAATAACTGAAATGGATTAAAACACGGTAAATAGGGACTTCCCTGGTTGGGCAGTGGTTAAGGATCTGCCTGCCAATGCAGGGAGCACAGGTTCAAGCCCTGGTCCAGGAAGATCCCACAAGCCGTGGAGCAACTAAGCCTGTGCACCACAACTACTGAGCCTGTGCTCTAGAGCCCGCGAGCCACAACTACTGAGCCCGTGCTCCGCAACAAGAGAAGCCACCGCAATGAGAAGCCCATGCACCACAACGAAGAGTAGCCCCCGGCTCGCCGCAACTAGAGAAAGCCCGTGAGTAGCAATGAAGACCCAACAGCCAAAAATAAAAAAAAATAAAAAGGTAAGAAAAAACACAGTAAATATGTTGAAATCCATGAGTTTATAATAATATAATAGCAAACCAAACCAATCACTCTTTATTTTAAGAGCTGGTTAATAAAGGTGAAGGATCAGGCATTTATTCTGCCTTTCCTCCACATCCCATCACTCAATGACCAAATAGTAGATGAGGACTCTATAGAAGTAATCAGATGATGGGACTGGAATATCAACATTTAGAGATTACTTCACTTCATAATAGTGACTGCCTCTTGGAGCAGGAGGGAAGGAGGACTCCTACAACATTTAATGGTTTATGTCTTTAAAGATGGCGTGTGTTAATTATGAACGGTGAGCATATGGGTCTGTTATACTATTCTGTTCTTTTTTCTGTGTTTGAAATAATTTATACGTTAATTTTTGTCAGAGATTAAAACACATGAAATACAGTGTACTTACATTTTTAATCATCTTCGTTTGTTCATTAATAGCTTCAAGAGGAACATTGGTGGCACCAATCTGCTGCGTAATACCACCTGCCTCACCATCTTGTACATGCGTGTGACGGAGCTGGGATAAGATGGCAGATTCAGATTCAAATTTCAAAATGCAAAAAGAAGCAAAAGCAATAAGAAAACAGCAGCTTGTAAACAGAACTGCCCATGTGTGCTATGGTTTCTATTAGCTTTTTATAAGGTATCATTCACTTATTCAAAAAGTTATGTATCAATGCACACATTTTCTTACTTTATCTAGAATTTTTGTCTTCCCTGTGTCCACATGTCCAAGTACACAAATAACAGGAGCTCGTAGCTTCTCTGTATTTACGTTTTTACTATGTTCAAGTCTCCGTTTCTAGGAATAAAAAAAAAACCACAAAATTAAATACTATTTCAAACACTCAGTACCATCTTCCTTTAAATTATTTTGCCTTTGCAAGGGAATGCCACAACCTGCATACAGGTTTTGCTGCTTGTTTTGCTGCTTTAACTACATGTAACTGCATTTTACGATGTGAACTTTACAACCTTTGGACAAGGAGACACCTGTTTATAAGAGATTTCTGAGCAGCACTACTAATTATGAATAAGAATGGTGTAAAGTGTTGGCTCAAACTTTCTGAACACTTTTGCACGTGGTTAATTTAATGGAATATAATGAATAGAAAAAGGAATTGATCATTTTGTCACACTTACTATATAGTACAACCTCTAACTTACGTGGAGGTTTACATAGAAAGAGGTATACACTAGCATTCCAACACTTTCATTAGAACTTAAGAATTGTTAAAAATTTTAAAGCAATATATTTCAAAGCTGTATCCAGTGTACAAATGCTATGTCTTTTCAATTAGGACATGGTTACTGCAAGCTTCAGCCTGACACATCCAAATGACACTTCCTACCTTCCTAAGTAACCACTAAGCATGAGAAAGCCTGTCCTTGAACTACAATGTATTTACTGTATCATTTACTTCTAAATACTTCAGCTTTCTGAGAACCAAACAAAACACAAGCTAGCAGTTCCTCTTTAAAATGACAGCCTTTGAAGTACAGTAAAGCTGGCATTCAAGTGAAATAACACTTTTCACAAAAAGTCTGAAGCAATGTCATTTACAAAACTATCACTATTTTCCATCTAAAAAACCGTTTTTCTAAGAACTCTTTCATTTCTACCACGACACTGATTCTTTCTATAGAAACTGTAATGAAAAGACATTTTGGAATGTCAAAAGTGAGACGCAAGTATTTACTAGCGAAGAGTAGTACACAACAGCGTCACAACATGTACGACTCAAAAGCAAACGGGACCTTAGTTAGAACTTGATATGGTTGAAAACTGCCTTTCTCTCCCATACTTGATGAAATGCTGAAATTTTCTGGAGGGCAATGTAGTATATATAGACCACGACTCAGAAATTCTACCTCTAAGTATTTGCTCTGAAGCAATGACAAGTATACAGAGATGTACAGGTGTACAACAGTTTGCTCACTGGAGTATTTATAATAGCAAGAATCAGAACCACTTAATCTTTAGTGGAGGATTTCTTAATGAGTGTTTCCAAAACCCCAGGGCTGATACCTATCTGGTTGCATAGAATCATATAGGTATCCTATCCACAATGGAGAGTCTTACTTAGGAAGTCTGTGGTGAATGTCAGAAAATTATAGTATATAGCAAGGTTTCAGAACCATGAAGTGTGTTATGGACTGAACTGTATCTTTCCCAAATTTATACACTGAAGTCCAAACCCCCAATGTGACTTATTTGGAGATAAGGCCTTTAGGAGGTAATGGAAAGGTTAAATGAGGTCCTAAGGGTGGGGCCCTAATCCAATAGAGCTGGTGTCCTTATAAAAGAAAATCAAAAATCTTTCTCAGCACTTACAGGGGAAAGGCCATGTCAGGACTCAGTAATAAGGTAGTCACCTGCAAGTAAGGAAAAGAGTCCTCACCAGAAAACAGCCCTGCTAGCTCTTGAATCTTGAACTTCTATCCTCAAAAACTGTCAGAAAATAAATTTCTGTCATTTAAGCCTCCCAGTTTGCAGTATTTTTGCAGTATTTTGTTGTGGCAGCCCAAGCAGACGGATACAAAGTTAAATTAGGATCCTTCTATAAAATGGAAGACAACATGGAGCTGTTAAAAGGTGTTGTGAGGCAGGACTTCTTAAAGGATGGAATGAGGAGGCTCAGCAAGTCCTCTCCCTAAAAAGAAAAGATAAAACTAGACAAAATTGTTGAAACAGCCACTTAAAGACTCTAGAAGTTGGCCAACAGCATATGACAAATTGAGAAACATTTAATTCAAGAAAATCTACTGACCATCAGTAAGAGCAACTGTGGAGTTTCAGACTGGAGTTGCTCCATCACACTCCTCTCACTCCCACAGCTCCATGGGGCAGAAGTGATATGAGAGAGGGACAGGGGATTTCACACTGTAGGGCACTGCCAAAACCAGGAGTGACCCCAATGGCAAACAAAAAGATAAAACTAAAATCACAACTAGACTAAGGCCTTGATACTGGTGAGACAAGAGATAACCAGGAAGATCAGTCAGACATTTAACAGGGAGGCTTGTGGAACAAGACTGACAAACCAGGCTTTGATAAGATACTACTAATCTCCGGTGGTCCAGAAGGCTGTGCCCCTTACAAGGTTGTCAGAAGAGACCAAAGAGGTCCTTGGTCCTCTAACAAGAACTTAAAAAATGAAAACAAACAAAAACAAAGAAAACAAAACTGAGAAGAGGCATCAGCAGTTGCATACAATAGAAGCTAAAGACATAACAGAATTAGTCCACCTGATGCACTAGGCAAAAAAACCAAAAAACCCAAACTACCACATTTGTAGGAGCTAACAGAATTCAGAGTGGTCAACAGAAACTACCTCTGAGAGACCCAGATTTTGGACTTATCAGACAAAGACTCAAAAACAGGGAACCATGTTGAAAGAAAAGTGTGATGATGACTCATCAAAAGAGGACATCAATAAATAGAAAAAAAATTATAATTAAAAAAAATAACTTGAACATTTTGGAGTTAAAAAGTTCCGTAACAAATTTAAAAAGTCACTGAAGGGGCTCAACAGTAGCTATAACCTGGCAGAAGAAAGAATCAAAGAACTTAAAGATAGATTAATAGAAATTAAACCGGAATGAAGAAAAATGGACAGAACCCTGAGAGATCTGCAGGATACTCTCAAGTGCACCAGTGGAGTTCCAGAAGGAGAGGAGACAGAGAAATAGGCAGAAAGAATATCTGAGGAAATAATGGCAGAAAATGTTCAAAATTCGACAAAAAACATCAATCTACACATCTAAAAAACTCAATAAACTCCAAGTAGGATAAATACAAAAGATAGCCACACCAAGACACAACCTAGTTAAATTGTTAAAAGCCAAGATCAAAAAGAAAATCTTGACAGCAAGAGAAAAATCACTCCCTGTGTAGAAGGGAACCCAAATAAGAGTAACAGCTTAATTTTAATCATAAGCAATGGAGGCCAGAGGCAATGCGGTAACATATTCAAAGGACTAAACAAGAGAAGAAAATTGTCATGCAAGAATTCCGCATGCAGCAATATTATCTTTAAAAATGAAGGTAAAATAAAGAATTCCCAGACTTAAAAAGACTAAGGAATTCACTGCTAGAAGATTAGCATGATGAGAAATATCACAGAAAGTTTATCAGGGTGAAATGAAGTGACACCAGATGGTAACGAAAAGCCACATGAAGAAAAAAAGGGTGATGGTAAAAGATGATTATATAGGTAAATATAAAACACAGTAAAAATTACCTTTTTCTATTTTCTTCTCTTAAAGGCTGATTTAAAAGATAACTTCAAAAATAATTCTAAAGTTGTATGCTTGATCTTATAACAGATAAAGATGTAACAAATATAACAAAGATCAAAGGCAAGGCGAGGGAGGTACTGGAGCTATACTGTAGCAACAAAATGACACCAGCAGAAACTCAAATTCATAGGAAGAAATAAGGAATACTAGAAACGTTAATATTTAGGCTAATATTAAAGACTATCAATATATTTTTCTCCTTTCTTCTCTGAATTCCTTTAAAAGATGTAAGATCAAATAAGACATTAATAGCACCACTGTTTTATTGGGTTTGTAACATTTATAAACATAATATATGTAACAATAATACATAATATATGTAACAATAATAGCATAAAGGAAGAAGAAAGAAATAGATCTATATTGGAACAAAATCTTTTTTTAACTAGAATTAAGCTACTAATAATAGAAAATAATAAGTTAAGATACATATTGTAATGCCTAGAGTAACCATGAAGAAAATAACTTAAAAAAAGAGAAAGACCCAAGAGACATGCAATATGTAGAAAACAAATAGCAAAATGAGAGAAGAAAATTCCATCACATCTATGACAACTTTTTTCCATTTCCTTTTTCTTTTGCCCCACCAAGTGGCTTATGGGATGTTAGTCCCCCAACCAGGGATTTAACCCAGGCCCTCAGTAGTGAAAGTGCAGAGTCCTAACCACTGGTCCAGTGGGGAATTCCCCATAATAACTTTAAATGTAAATCAATTAAATGCTCTTAAAGGCACATTGTGTGACTGGATAAAACAGCAAGATTAAAGCACATGCTGTCAGCAAGAGACACTTTAGAGTCAAAGACACAGACATAAACTGAAAGCATTAAGACTGAAAAAGACATACCATGCAAATGATAACTATAAGAGATTCATGGCTATGTTAATAACACACAAAAAATGTTATTAGAGACGAGAGACATATCTGTATCCTCAAGAGAATATAACAATTATAACCACATACAAACCTAACAGAGACCCAAAATATATAAAGAAAAAACTGAAAACATTGAGGGGAGAAATAAAATTCAACAATAAATTTGGGAACTTCAATAGCCCACTCTCAATAATGGATAGAAAAACTATACATAAAATGAGCAAATGTATACAAAATTTGAACAGAAGTATCAACAAAACTGACCTAACTAACACCAGACCCACCAACAGCATAATCCACATTCTTCCTAAGTACACAAGAAACATTCTCCAGAAGAGACCATATGCTAGAAGATAAAACAGGTCAATTACTTTAAAATGACAGAAACTATACAAAGTATGTTCTCTGACCACAATGGTCAGAATTTAGAATTAACAGAAGGAAAATAAGGAAAATCCACAAATATTTGTAAATTATAACAATACACTTCTAAATAATGCATGATCAAAGAAGAAATAGTAAAAGTGAGATTAGAAAATCTGAGTTGAATGAAAACCAAAAAAAGTCAAAATTTGTGGGATGCAGCTAAAGCAGTACCTTAGAGGGGAAATCTGTAATTGTAAATGCCTATATGATGTGGAGAAGAAAAGAATGGTCTCAAATCAATTATCTAAGTTGTCACCTTAAGAAATTAGCAAAAGAGGAAACTAAACCCAAAGTAGAAAGAAAATAATAAAGAACAGAATAAAAAATCAACTAAAAAGAGAACAAACAAAAATAAAGAAAAATCAATGAAACCAAAAGTTGGTTTGAGATGCTCAAAAACATGGAAAACCCTTAGCCAGACAGACCAATAAAAAAAAAAAAAAAAAAAGAGGAGACAAAGATCACCAAAATTAGAATCAAGAGGAGACACCACTACTGACCTTACAGAAACTTAAAGGACTGTAAAAGGATGCTATGAACAACTTTATGCTCACAACTTAGATGAAAACCAATAATTAGAAACTCAAAAATTACTGATAATGACTCAAGATGCAAAAGAAAATGACAATACAATAAACTGAATTAGTAATTTTAAAATCCTCCCCCCCAAAATGCTTTATTGATGAATCCCAACAAACATTCAAAACAGGAAATAATATAATCCTTCACAAACTCTTGCAGAAAGTAGAGAAGGATGGAACACTTCCCAACTAATCCTACAAGGTTAATATTAATCTGAAATCAAAGCCAGAGAAACACATCTTAAGATAAGAACGTTACTGATCCATATTCTCATAGGTATAGATCACAAATTCCTCAACAAAATATTACAAACGACATCCAGTACCATATAAAGAGGATTATATACCATGATCAAGTGGGATTTATTCCAGGAATGCAAGGTTGGTTGAATACCAATTAACATAATACATCATATATCAATACAAAAAGGGAAAAACCCATCTCAATAAATATACAAAAAGCATCTATCATCCACTCACCAACAGAAACTCACCACAAACTAGGAAAAAAAGGGAATTTCATCAAACTGACAAAGGACATCTGTGAAAAACCCACTGCTAATATCATAGTTAATGGTGAAAATCTGAACATTTTCCCCCCAAATACTGGGAACAAGGCAAGTATGTCTGTTCTTACCACTTCTATTCAACAATGTATTGGTCTAGCCAGGGAAATAGGGCAAAAAGAGAGAAATAAGCAGCAGTAAGTTTGGAAAGGAAGAATTAAATTGTCTTTGATAGATGACATGACACTGATTACAGAAAGTCCTAAGCAATCCATGAAAAATTACTGGAATAAAAAAATTTCAGTATAGTTGCAGGATACAAAATCAATCTATAAAATCAACTGCACCTTTATACTGACAATGGAAGATTAAATGAAGTGACTCCATTCACAAGAGCATCAAAAACAATAAATATACTTGGCAATAAATTTAACAAAAGAATCATAAATCCTATACTCTGAAAACTACAAAACACTGCTGGATGAAATTTTAAGAGATATAAATAAATGGAGAGACAGCCTATTTCCATGGATTGGAAGATTTAATATTAATAAGATGGTAATTCTCCACAAAATTGATCTACAGATCCAATGCAATCTCTATCAAAGTCTGAGTAGACTTTTTGCAGAAACTGCTGACCCTAAAATCTGTATGGAAAAGCACGTGACCTAGGATAGTCAAAACTATCTGGAAAAGCAAGAATAATGTTGGAAGACTTACATTTCCCAATTTCAAAACTGACCATAAAACTATAGTAATCAAAAACAGTATGGTACTGACGTAAGAACAGATATACAAATGAATGAAACAGAACTCAAAAGTCGAAAAATAAACTCTCACATTTCTGATCACTTGATTTGTCGAAAATGACAAGGCAACACAATGGGGGAAGAGTAGTCTTTTAAACAAATGATGCTGGTTAAATTCATTAAAAAATGATGTTAGTCCCTTACATCACACCATACAAAAAAATTATCTTAACATAGAGTTAAAGATACAAGAACAAAAAGTATAAATTTTTAAGAAGAAAACACAGGGCAAAATATTCATGATCTTGGGTTAGGCAAAGATTTCTTCAATACAACACCAGAGGCATGCTCTAGTAAAAGAAAAATTTAATAAACTGGATGTTAACAAAATTAAAAATTTATGCACTTCAAAAGAAACTTAAAAAATGAAAGGAACTCTTACAACTTAATAATAAAAAGACAAATTCCAAAATTTAAAAATGGACAAAAATTTGAATAGATGTTTCAACAATGAAGATTATAGGAATGGCCAATAAACATACAAAGAAATGCTCAACATCATGGAAATGCAAATTAAAAACTGCAATAAGATATACTACTTCACATCCTTTAGAACGGTTATAATGGAAAAGCAGACAGTAACAAGTATTAGTGAGGATGTAGAGAAACTAGAACCCTCAACTGATAAAAATTTTCAGTTGCAGAGCCACTCTGAAAAATAGTTTAGTAGTTTCTGAAAAAGTTAAACACAAATTTACCATATGATTCAGCAATTTCACTCCTAGGAACATATGCAAAAGAAATAAAAACATGTTTCCATGCAAAGATTCATATGAGAATGTTTATAACAGTACTATTCATAATAGCCAAAAAAGTGGAAAGTCAAATATCCTTCAACTGGTGAATGGACACTAATAAAATGTGGTATATTTGTGCAACAAAACACTATTTGTCAGTAAAAAGGAACGAAGTACTAATAGAGCAACAACACAGATGAATAGGCTTAAGTGAAATAAGCCAGACACAAAAGACTACATATTATAGGATTGCATTTATAATGAAGTTTCCAGAGAAGACAGCTCTCTAGAGACAGAAAAACAGATTAGTAGTTGCATGGGGCTAGGAATGGGGAATGACTGCAAACTGGCACAAGGAATGTGTCTGGGGTGATGAAAATATTCTAAAGTTGAGTTGTGGTGATGGTTGCACAACTCTGTAAATTTACAAAATGTCACTGAATTGTACACTTAAAATGGGTCAATTTTATGGTACGTAAATCATATCTCAACCAAGCTGTTTAAAAACTGTTGAGTTAAAGAAGCCCATAGCATACTGTTATGTGGAAAAAAATATGCATCCACAAAATTTATTATCTAATTATTAATGAATTTTTTTTTTAACATGAGGCTGATAAACAGATTCATTAACAAGGGTAGTTCTTGTTATCTCACTGGGGAGTGAGATAATGGGGGAACTTTTACTTTCTGATTACACCCATTCTGTTTGTTTTTAAATCATCAAACACAGTACACAAACTGTCTCTCTTACACATAGGTATACAAGGGAGTTGGCCTGAGTAGGTGCTGTGGGGAAGAAGCAGAGACACGTGCAGGAGAAGGGAGGGGATCTAGTGGGTGGAGACCAGAGATACTGCTCAACATCCTAAAATGAAGAGGACAGTCCCCCGCAGCAGAGAATTATTCAGCCCAAAAATGTCAACGGTGCTGGGGTTGAGAAACCCCAGTTTACAATAATAGACTTTGTTAGTCCTTTAGAGATTCAGAAAATCTATTCCTATCTAGACTTTACAGAAGGAAAGGCAAATACTGATACATAGGTATTAAAACAAAAATTAAAAACTAGAATTACATATGAAAAGATTAAGAAAAGGAAAGCTAAGAACAGTTTTTAGCTTTAAAATAGTTTAGCATCCTCAAAGCAAACTAAAGTAGTTTTTAGTGTATTATTTATGCTAAGCTGACATAACTAAAGAAAACTTTCTCTTGAAGCCTAGTAGAAGTAGTAGTAGAAGTCTACCTCATTAAGTAGGCCAAACACTAAGCCGGCTAGGTATGTGAACTTGACTAAATATTGATAGAAGCCTCATTAACCCACCAGATTTAAACAACTAAAGGGATCAGATGCCTCAGAATGACTAACCTAAATACATAAGGCAAAAACTCAACTAGAGGGCATAAGCTCGGAATACCTCTGTATACCGATAAACTGTCAAAGAGCACATTAAAATTTGGAGGAAAAAAGAAAAAAATGATGAAGCAGTCACCATTCTGTCTTAGGTAAGAGTGAGGTCCTTGGGTTAGACCACTGTTAAAGACCTATTATGTCTCCACAAAAACCGGACAAAGATACCACTCCGAGACTATTTTTAAAAGTGCTCCTCAATAAAAGCCTTTAGTTGTATAGTTCTAATGTTCACAGAGGAGTGGGGAGGAAAGGAGGAAAGAGAAGAGGAAAAATAAATACCTCAATCCTCCGTTTTGCTTTGTCGTAAGCCCGTTCTTCTTTAGTTCGATCATCATCAGAGTCATACTCAGATTCCGAGCTCACTTCTTTACTTGGCTTTTTAACTAATGTTTTCCCCACATCCTTCTCATCTGACACCTTTTCATCATCTTCATCGCCTTCACTGCCTTCACTGTCTCCTTCTTCTTCCTCTTCTTCTTCACTCTCTTCGTCATCCTCCTCCTCCTCCTCTTCCTCCTCTTCCTCTTCAGGGTTTTCTTTTACTTCTATATGCACCGTGTTTCCTACTTTCAGGAAAAGAGATTTTGAAATAAATGAAAGTTAACAATGAGATTTCTATCAAGATAGAGACCTTAAAGGGAAAATAATACTGAACATGTACTAAATAAGAGAGTGAAATTTTTTTTTTTTTGGGGGGCGGGTATGCTGGCCTCTCACTGCTGTGGCCGCTCCCATTGTGAAGCACAGGCTCCGGACGCGCAGGCTCAGCGGCCATGGCTCACAGGCCCAGCCACTCCGTGGCACGTGGAATCTTCCTGGACCGGGGCACGAATCCGTGTCCCCTGCATCGGCAGGCGGACTCTCAACCACTGCGCCACCAGGGAAGCCCAGGGAGTAACATTTTAATACAGCATTAATTCCAAATTAATGTTTTCATACATCATAAATGCAAAGTGTTTGTCTACATTGCTACAATGAAGACTGCCACTTAACAGTAAAAACTTAATGCATTAACCATACTTCAGCTAATAAACAAGAAAAACATTACTAAGCTAGGATACAAGAGAGGACAGAAACCCAGGGAGGTGGACACGATGCCTAGTACTTTGTTCCCCCTGGGGTCATTTGCGGATCCTGGAGGAGGCAGCTGAAAAGCTATGCAGCTCTTAGTGGCCCCTCAAAGCTTAAGGGTCCAGGCATTGGGAGTTCAGGCCTACCAAGGATTTCCATGGGGCGAGGGAGATGGACACTGGGTAATACCCTTATTGTGGGGTGAAATCCTGAAAAACTGTACTGTAGCAGTAAGGATAAATGAGAAGTAAACAGGGCCTCCCCATTATTGGCATATCACCTCCAGATCCTCTAAATTCCACATGTGGAATAAAATGACTCTATATTGCTAGTTCACTCAGACTCCTGGTAGATGTACATATAAATTCTCTCTGGAGGAAGAAAACACCAACCTTGACATCAAATTATTTCTACAGTTGCAAACAATTGAGGAGAAAATTAATGAACCAGAACACAGATCAGAAGAAACAATCTACAATGAACCATGGAGACTCAATAGGTAAAAAATACAGAAAAGAGGAAAAGATACAGTGATAGAGTAAGAAGGTCTATCATAGGCTTAACTAATAACCCTGAGAAGAAACAGTGGCTCATAACACTGCAAAACTAATAAAAACATATAGGCAGAATAAATAAAAACAAAACAAACCTAGCCACATCATAATAAAACTGATGAAAACGCAAGACACATGAAAAATTTAGGCTGGTAACCTGACTTTTAAACAGAAACAATAAAAGCCAAGACAAGGGACTAATATCTTCAAAGTATTAATAAAATTACGACTAAGAATTCCTCATTCAGTTTGTCACCTTCAAGAATGAAGATGATAAAGATATTTTCAGAAAAGCAAAAATGGAATGTCTCAGTAACAGATGCATACTGAAGGAAATTCTAAAAGGTATTCTTCAGGCTGGAAGAAATGATCCCAAATAAAGGTCAGAGGTGCAGGAAAAAAATGAAGCACAACAAAAGCTAAGAATGTGGGTAAACTTAAATATATACTGACTGCTTTTTAAAAAAAGCTATTATGGGGTTTAAAACAGAGAATTAAAATTAATGAGAACAATGGTATATAAATTGAGAATTGGTTAAATGTTGTTTATGTATTCTGTGGTCATTACATTGCCTGGAAAGAAGATAACAGTAGACAGTGATAGTTCAAAGATCCATGTTTGGCCCAGTCGGAGGGCCAAGGAGCACTGGTCCGGGTTGGGCAGAGCGGGGGAAGGCAGGGTGCAGCCGTTGTGCGGCGTAGTCCCCCAACCTGCTGCCAGCTCTGTAGCCTGTCAGGCCCCAGCACTGTCTGCTGATCTCGGGCTGGAGCCATGGGGGTGCTTGGGGGAGGTTTAACACTAAGGGTATTCCCTATCGTGGCTTTTAAAGGTCTTCCATTTTCTCAGATTGCTTTCTTTTCATCCCTCCGTGCTGTTCCCGCACCCCTGGCAAGGACCTACCTTTCAAGGTCCCCCTCAAGTGTGCCCCTCTAGAAGCCTTTTACAGCCCCTTCCTCACCCCTCATCCAACACACTTAGGTGTCTCCTTTGGGCCCCACAGAAATGTCTGCACACCACTGTTAGGGCTTCGCTCCTTCAACAACGAAACGTGTTTATTGGCGCCTGTTATTTGCCAGGCAGAGTTTTTAAATTTCTGCATTAGTTTCTGTCTCTCATCAGATTTGAGGGCAGGAGCCATCTCGTTATGGAATCCGTAGAGGGAGAGGGGATGAGGCAGGCTTTGGAATCAGGCCCAGGCGGCTCCAGATGCAGCTCCACCACTTAAGGACAGCTGCCCGCCCTCTCACAACTTTCCTAACCCCCTCAGCCCCTCTCAGCTTTTGTGAGGATTTAAAAGGCATCTATCAGGAAGCGGGGGTGGGGGGGGGATTACACAGAGCAGCTGCCCACCCATCCACTTATTCTTGCACAGATCCTTGTTTGAGGTGTCTAATGTGCAAAGCACTGCCACAAGCATTGCAGGGAACAGAGAAATCAAGTCCTCATCTTCTAGTGGGGCTGATGTGAGAGGAGGAGATAAGGACTGGGAGGAGGAATACTGGGTGAGAGGATGGAGAGAAAGGGGAAAAAAAAAAGATCCACGTGAAAACTCTCTAGAGTAACCACTAAAAGTAAGCAGAAAAGTACAAAACTTCCAAGCTCATGAAAGGAGAAAAAATTCAAATAATCCAGAAGATGGTTAGAAAGGAGAGAAAAAGAAACAGAAGAAGAACTTAAGAAGAACTTAATAAGATGATAAATATATAATCAATATACTTTATTAACTCTATCAAATGTTAGATGTAATGGGCTAAGTACTCTAGGTAAAATATAAAAATTGACAAACTGGATTTAAAACCTCAACTATATGCTGTTTAAGGATATAGAAAGTGTAATAAAGACAGAAGAAGATCATGTAAATTAAAGCTGGCATAGCTATTAATATCAGATAAGGTAGACTTTAAGGCAAAAGACATCACTAGAAATAAAACGATAAAACAGTTATTTCATCAGAAAGATATAAGATTACATTCATCTAATAATATAGCACCAAAATATGTAAAGCAAAAATTAATATAACTCATGGAGAAACAGACAATCTACAAGCACGATGGGAGATTTGAACACACAACTCTCAGTGAGAGAGAAAAAGCACACCAGAAAAAAAAACTCAGAACAGAACGTAAGAGGTGAAAATGATCAGCAAACTTAACTAAATATAGGTAACAAGTCACCCAACTAATGCAGAATATAAACTCTTTCCAACCACATATGAAACATTCATAATAATTTACAGCCCAACAAATGGTTGGTTAAGTCGACGTATTTCAAAGGACAGAACCATGTATTTTTCTGATCACAAGGAAGTAACAAAGATACGTAAAGTCCTCATTTTCATAAATTAAGAAATATACTTCTGGGCTTCCCTGGTGGCACAGTGGTTGAGAGTCCGCCTGCCGATGCAGGGGACACGGGTTCGTGCCCCGGTCCGGGAAGATCCCACATGCCACGGAGCGGCTAGGCCCATGAGCCATGGCCACTGAGCCTGTGCGTCCGGAGCCTGTGCTCCGCAACGCGAGAGGCCACAACAGTGAGAGGCCCGCGTACGGCAAAAAAAAAAAAAAATATATATATATATATATATATATATATATACTTCTAAATAAATCACAGGTAAAAATTAATATATCAAAATAGAAAATTTAAAATATCAACGTATCAGACCTTACAGAATTTGGCTAAAGCCAGGCTTAAAGAAAAATCTGTAGTTTTAAAAAACGACTGAAAAAACAGAGCCAAATATTCATTTCAAAGTTAGCAAAAAGCCAGCAAATTAAACCCTAAAAAAGACAGGAAGAAATGACAAAAACACTTTTTATTCATAGTGATTAGGAACTAAACAATTCGTTTGTATTATCTTTGTATTATATTTTAAGTTCAAGAGGTTTTTTTGGTAGGCTAGCTTTAATAACTTATCCCCATTTGTAACATTATCACTCTGAGAAAAAATGTATTCTAAAGCCTAGGCAACTATCTTACAAATGACTTTCTGAAAAACCATTTATTAATAAAATCAGGATCCATATGAGGACTTAGGAACCATGGCAATGGAGAGAGCAAGACTGGTCTCTATCCCCAGGAATGTTCATACAGCTTTCATCATCGGGAGACTATTTCTTTAATACACACACCTCCAATAACCACTGGACTTATCAATGAGTGCTTACGAGCTACTCACCTGTTTCTCTCTCCTCATCACTAGCCATAGCTTCCCAATCATCCAATCCAGCATCCTCAGTTTCTTCTTCCTCTTCTGTAAATAAAATTTTCATTAAAGACACAGAATATATCTAGACAGATAAGATTGCTTTTAGAAAAAAAAAATTACGTAGAAAACTATCCTGACATAAAGAAATAAATGTTTTAGTTATGCAAAAAGTATGTACACAATTTCATTACCTTTGGAACTAGTTTTCAATATACCTACCATGTTAAATCCTCTACTATTACTAAATGCTTCACAATTTCCTCGTGTTTTGAATACACTATATTAAACTTAACGCAGATTTCACATTTGAGGTAATTAAAATATTAGCAACTCATTGAAATGTTCCTTTAGATCTTGAAAAGGGTAAATGATGGCATTCAGTTCTTGAGGATAAAAGAAATTTCACATATATCTTCTTTTTGATCTTCAACCTATACTTTATACAGAAGAATGTACTGTTTATTTTGCTTTAACCTCTACAAATACATATAAATACAACTTAAATTACATAGTTGGAGGTACAAATCTACACTTCTATTCCAGTTGAAAATAAGAACAGTACGTTGTGCTTACAACCCAAAAAATAGCCAGAAAGGTATAATTTTGAATTTATAGACTTTAAACTCTCATTAACAAAAATGATTCTTTTTACTGAAATCTAATCAAGCAAAATTATTCTCAAATGAAAGGAAGATGAGATTGGGACACTGTAGTATTTGTTTCCCTGTCATAATTACTATTTGTCAACAAGTTTGGACACGCCTTCTTGAGGAGGAAATGAGTCAGAAACACATACCCCTAACTCCTCCTAAATGAGCAATTCTTTCTAGTGCTACAAATATCACCTAAAATAGGGAACTGCTGTTAAGTCTATCAATGTGAATTTCTCTAATCTCATCCTGTTAAGCTGAGGTGTGCCCAGGAAAATGATCCTTTTTATATTGAGAATAGGAGGGGAAGAAAAATAGGATCAGTAATACCTTTCACCAGTGTGGGTCAGTCTTAACATTCTCTAAAGCTGCTCCCATTCCTGTCTTTAAACACTGGAGATTCTCCTGATTTTACAAAACGTACATTTAGCCGGCCTCTGGCTCTCCTAGCAACAGCTATCTCATGAATTAGAACAATGTTTATCTTAAAGAAAAAAAAAATCCAGAGATTTTCTCCAATCTCAAAACACACACACAAAATGAGTAAGTTGAATCCTCTTACTAATTTAGTAAACAGAAGCTGACCTCTATAAAGATTTTAAAATGCCAATTTTTATGACTCTTAATAAAAGTTCTAATTAAAAATGCTTCCAATTTGCTTCTGAAGGATTAAATAAAGAACTTTAGTTCTTCTTGGTACCGCTTAAGAATTCTGACCCATAAATAAAAACATCAGAAAAAATCCAAATACCTCTCTCCATCCTCTCTAAAAAACATTTTACCAACACTATTGTAAAGAACAATAGTGATTCAAGTCTCACCTCTACACTTTTTACAGTGGAAATGAAATGATTCAGAGAAAAGAAAGAACTATGAAGAAGGCCATCCTGCCAGACATTTGGTTTCCCCAAACTAACGATAACCAAGACAACTTATGACACATCAGTGATATTTAACAGGAATTAATTAGTCAACACTACTGACCTGGTTCAACAGGAGGTGGTGTCTCTTCTTTTTCAGGTACTCCTTGTTCCACAACTTCTACAGCAGCACTTAATTCCATTGGTTCACATACTGAAAAAAGGAACAGAAACCAAGTTAACAATACTTTTCAGTGCATAATTTCTGTTAGGATACTCTATTAAGTACTGAATAAAAACCAGTAGTACAACCTAAATTCTTTAGCAAGTTTAGAAAACATTTAAATATCAGCTATGCGTTGTTGTTTTTTTAAAGAGGAAACTAGTTTTTCTTTCTGCTCAAGAATAGAATGTAAAATTACAGAAGGTTGAGAAGGGAACAGAAAACATAAGAATGATAGTTGTGCTTTTCAGAGTTAAGAACAGTTATTCATAGCATAGGATCCACATTCTTCAAACAAAAGTACTTTTCCATTAACCTGTCATTTGAATACGTTGAGAATGATAATAACAAGAAACAAGGTACAGGAAGTAAGTTTCAGTATGCAATTCTGATTTGCTGATTTCTTTTTAAGACTTCTGAGAAAAAATGTATTCTAAAGCCTAGGCAACTATCTTACAAATGACTTTCTGAAAAACCATTTATTAATAAAATCAGGATCCATATGAGGACTTAGGAACCATGGCAATGGAGAGAGCAAGACTGGTCTCTATCCCCAGGAATGTTCATACAGCTTTCATCATCGGGAGACTATTTCTTTAATATACACACCTCCAATAACCACTGGACTTATCAATGTGTGCTTACGAAAAGGCAAACAAAACTGTTTCTAAATCACAGGCTATTTTGTATGCAAACCTTTATTTTCCAGCTGCTGTGGTGTTTTTTTCTTCTTTTTATCTTCATAAATTGGCCTTTTCTTTGGCAAAGAGTCTTTTGATGGCACTTCAACACCTGAGGGATAAAAATGGAAAATTTCAGGGTTTATACTACTTGCTTGTCACCTAAGAAATACTACTTAAGAAGATAACATTTTATTCACCTCAGAGATGCATACCCTAAAATATAAAGGAACATTCATGGAAAACCCTCTTTTGTAATGTAAGGTATTTTAAAATTTATATACGTTTAAATTCCATTTTTTTGGTGTCCAGTTCTATGACTTTTGACAAATGCATGTAGTTATGCAACCACCATCATAATGAAGATGCAGAACAGTTCCATCACCCTGTGCTGCTCTGGGAAGTTAAACCCTATTCACATCCTTATGCCCCTGGCAGCTACTGATCTGTTCTCCAACCCAAAACATGTGCTCTTTCCAGAAAGTCACAGAAATGACACTTTACAGTCTGGCTATCATCATAATGGATTTGAGTCATCCTCATTACTATATGTACCAGTACTTCATTTCTTTTTATTGCCGAACAGCATTCCATTGTATGGATGTACCACAGTTCCCTTATTCGACAGACAGCTGAAGGACATTTGAGTTCTAGTTTTTGACAATTATGAATAAAGCTGTTAGGAACATTTGCATGCAGATTTTTCTGTGAACATTTCTCTGGGGTAAATACTGTGGAGTGGGAATGATGGGACATTAAGATAAATATGTACAGTTGACTCTTGAACAACATGGGCGTCAGGGCTGCCAACTCTCCGTGCAGCTGAAAATCTGCATATACCTTATAGTCAGCCCTCCGTATCCATGTTTCCTCCATATTCATGGTTCCGCATCCTCAGATTCAACCAATCACAAATTGTGTAGTTACTGTAGTATTATTGGAAAAAAATCCACCTATTAAGTAAACCCACACAGTTCAAACCCGTGTTGTTCAAGGGTCAACTGTATTTAAATTTGTAAGAAACTGCCAACTGTTTTCTAAAGTGGCTTTACAATTCTGCATTCCCACCAGTAATATATGAGAGTTCCAACTGCTCTTACCAGCATTTGGTAAAGACAGATGTTGGGTTCTTTTAAATTTACATATTCTAATAAATGTGTAGTGGTATCTCACAGTGGTCTTAATTTGAATTTCCTAATGATGTCGAGCAGTCTTGCCATGTGCTTATACTGAATAGTTTCTTGGTGAAGTGTCTCTTCAAACTTTTGCCCATTTTTAAATAGGATTGTTTTTCTCATTGTTGAGTTTCGAGTTATCTTTATATATATTTTTATGCACACACACACACACAGTTATCACGTATGACTTTCAGGTATTTTCTTTGAATTCTCTCAATGGTGTCTTTTGCACAGCAAAAGTTTTTAACTGGACTTCAATTTTATAATTTTTTCCTTTTATGGACTATGCTTTTGAAGTTGTAACTAAGCACTCCCTGCCTAACACAAACTCACAAAGATTTTCCCCTATGTTTTCCTCTAAAAATTTTTTTTTTTTTTTGTGGTACGCGGGCCTCTCACTGTTGTGGCCTCTCCCGTTGTGGAGCACAGGCTCCGGATGCACAGGCTCAGCGGCCACGGCTCACGGGTCCAGCTGCTCCGTGGCACGTGGGATCTTCCCGGACCGGGGCACGAACCCGTGTCCCCTGCATCGGCAGGCAGACTCTCAACCACTGCGCCACCAGGGAAGCCCTAAAAGTTTTTAAGTTGTATATTTTATATGTAGATCTACAATCCATTTTGAGTTAAATTTTATATAACGATTGAGATTTAGGACTAAGTTTTTTTATTTTGAGGTTTTTTTTTTTTTACACAATGTCTAACTGTTCCACTATCACTTGTTGCAAACATCATATTTTATCTACTGAATTGTCTTTTCTATGACAGAAAAGAAAAACCCTGACCATACGTAGACTCTATCTGTTCTATTGATCTATTTGTCTATCCTTTTGCCAGTATCACACTGTACTGATTACTGTTTTTACAGTTAGTCTTGAAATCAGATAGTGAGTCCTCCAAGGTTTGTTCTTTTTCAAAAATACTTTGGCCATTCTAACTCCTTTATCTTTTCATACACATTTTAGAAATAGCTTATAGATATCCACAAAATATTCTGCTGCAATTTTGACTGAGATTGCACTGAATCTACAAATCAGTTTAGGAGAACTGATATCTTAACAACATCAAATCTTCCAATCCATGAATGCAACATCTCTCCATTTACACAGGTCTTCGATTATTTTCGTCAGTGTTTTATAGTTTTCAGCATATAGATTCCACAAATACTAAGTGTTTCAATTACTTTTATGGGGGGGGTACTGTAAATGGTACCATTTTTAATTTTTACTGTTAATTGCAAGCATATAGAAATACAGTTGATATTTGCATACTGGTCTTATCTATAATCTTGTTAACCTCACTTATTAGCTGTAGGATTTTGTGGGGGGTAGATTCCATGGGATTTTCTATGTAGACAACTGTCATCTGTGAATAGACAGGTTTACTTCTTCCTTCCAGTCTACATGCCTTTATTTCTCTTTCTGCCTAATTGCCTGAGTTAGGACATTCCAGTGCAATGTGCAATGATTGTGATGAGAGTGGATATCCTTGCCTAAATCACAATATTAGTGTTTATTAGTATTCAGTCATTCACCAGTAACTGAAAATTGTTGTATGTTTTTTGTAAATGTCTTATATCAGGGAAGGAAGTTCCCTTCTATTCTCAGTTTGTGAATTTTTATTATACGTGAATGGTGAATTTTGTCAAATGATTATTCTCCATCTATTGAGATGACCATGTAGATTTTCTTCTTTAGTCTATTAATATGGTGAACTATTTATTTATTTTTAAATACTGAACCAACCCTGCATTCCCAGGATAAAACCCACTTGGTCATGATAGATTAACCCTAAATATAAATATACGCACATAAACATAAATATTTATATAGTTGACCCTTGAATAACAGGTCTGAACTACACAGATATTTATACTCAGATTTTTCTCACTAAATATGTATTATATTATAGTACTAGAAGATCCACTGCTGGTTCAATATGTGGACGTGGAACCGTGGATACAGAGGGCCGACTAGAAAATTATACACAGGTTTGTGCCTGTATGGAGAGTTGCCCCTAACCCCTAGATTGTACAAGGGTCAACTGTACTGCTGGAATCAAACTGCTAATATTTTGTGGAAAAATTCTGCATCTTTGTTCATGAGGGATATTGGTCTGCAGTTTTCCTTTCTCGTAATGTCTTTGTCTCACTATGATATAAGGGCATGCTGTCCTCATAAAATGAGTTGGGTAGTTCTGGAAGATAATGTTCATAACTAGCAATATTTCTTCCCTAAATATTTGTTAGAATTCCCAAGTGAAATCATAGAGGCCTGGAGTTTTCTTTGTTGGAAATTTTTTTTTAACTTAGATAAAATGTAAGTAGATATAGGAGTATATTTTTTAAACAGGTATAGGACTACCCAGGTTATGTATTTCTTTGCATGTTGGTTGTTTGTGTCTTTTAGGGGAATGTGTACTTGCTATATGCTTAGTAGTTACAGGCTAAAGGCTATGGAACAGACTAAAAAGGTAACCTGCTACACAATTCAGCGTAATTATCCGAAAATATCTGCAGATACACTAAGAACACATTTTGAGCTCAATTAATAAGTTTTATATTATTCTAGGTAATGAATGTGGTAAATAATATTTACCTAACAAGGCAGCTTTTAAAGATATGGTGAGACGTAGCATGTAGTATCTTTTCAATGAATGCACTTGTGGAGGGCCGTTAATGTCAGGTTAAGAAGTTTGGACACTTTTATTAACAGACAATAGGGAACCCATAAGAGGGCAAAAACTGAGCAACACTATGAAGAATAAGAAAAGAGACTAGGGCCAGAGATGCTACCTGAGAGACCATCTCTTCCAAGCCTGTCCTAAAGATTGATGCCAAGTTCACAATTTTAAATAATTTTCATCTAAACTTGTAAATACAAGTCAAGCTACTCCATAAAACAGCATTTCTGAGATTGGCAAATTACTCCCTACGTGGTCCTATCCCAATTTCTCCATGAGTGCTTCTAGCCTGTCAGATAGCCACAAGTCAAATCTGTTATTTGGGTGCTAGTTGTACTCGAATTTGTTCTTTACTTTTGTTTTTTAAAAAGCTATATCCCCAACTGAGAATAAGACTTTCTGAAATCTAAGTACTGTGTTTCTCTACATGTACTGCTCCCAGCTGACCATATAATGCATAACAAAGAGCTGGTCACACAGATCAATTAAATCTCAGTTCTAGGTCCTTGGACAAGCTGTTAAAAGTTTTCTGAGTCTCCATTTTTCATCTATATGATGGGAATGAAGATATTTATGAGGAAATAATGTCAAAGGTAACATCAGGTATATACTAAATACATAATCCATGGTAGCTCTTACTTTAATTATAGCATAAGCACCAAAATTACTATAATATAAAAATCTGTGGAACGTAAGGACAGGACATTAAGAGAGGTCCCAAAATATTCTTCTCAAAGGAGCAAAGACACTATTTTAAATCATCTTACCTGTCAAAAACATAAATGATTAAATGCTCAGATTATGGTCTCTAAACTAAAAGGAACCAAGGTTCCCTGGGTAAACAGTTGATTTCAAGGTCTAGAGGAGAAAATGTGCAAGATGAGCCTGGGATATCTCGTGGTGTTAGAAAGCAAGGAAGAGGTCCAAGAATACAGTAGTCAAGTGAAAAAGTCACAGGGACCAACCTGAATGACTTCCTGCTAGCCAAAGATGGTATAATTTGAGTATCAAAAACATAAATGGGGCTTCCCTGGTGGCGCAGTGGTTGGGAGTCCGCCTGCTGATGCAGGGTACGTGGGTTCATGCCCCGGTCTGGGAGGATCCCGCGTGCCGCGGAGCGGCTGGGCCCGTGAGCTATGGCCACTGGGCCTGCGCGTCCGGAGCCTGTGCTCTGCGGCGGGAGAGACCGCGGCAGTGAGAGGCCCGTGTACCGCAAAAAAAACCAAACCAAAACAAAACAAAACCATAAATGACTTTAGGAGATGAAAACATATCAATTATATAAAACTCCATTAAGATAAAATGATATACATCCAAAGCAAAATTAAATTCTAAATTTAATACTAAACCTCCACTGGTCACCTTTGGAGGTTAAGGGGACATCAACTTATTATTTTACAAATTAGTAAAGAAAGGGAAAGAATTAAGCATATACCCTGGTTTTCCTGCATGAACTGTATTTCAGGGAAAGCTTTTCTTTAGAGAAAGATTCTAGCTAATAAATGCAGAAAGAATGTCATTCAGACTATCACAATTCTTTAATTCCTAACAAAGTACTGGATATAGGCAATGATCACCAATTGGAATTAAAATTATTAGATGAAAAGTCAATGAAGAACTTTTCTAATGGACAAGGCTGCCAATAGCTAAACTCACTGATCAATCTTGACATCACCAGAAGGCAAGCAGATCACGTGCCTCCTCACATGAGGCACTTTAGGTGGTAAAGCACCATTAAGAAGTAGCCAAACTGCTAGATCTAAAAAATTACAAGGTATAGAGAAATAAGTTAGCCAACACCAGGAGAATGCAAATAGACAAATCCAGGATAGGAGAAATTCTAGGAAAACATCCAGTATCTTCAACAAATAAATCCATGCCAAAAATAGGGGTGGTACTGGTATCAATGAGAGACAGATATTATCAACCAAATACAACACATGAATTTAATCTGGATCCTGATTTGAACAAATCAATTATAAAAGACATTTTGGAGATAAGTGGAAAAAACTAGACATGGACAACATCAAGGTATCAAGGAACTTTGTTTAATATAATAATACATACTACACTCATATTAAAAAGTAAAATGTCCTTATCTGTTAGGTATACACACTAAAGTAAAATGTGAGTAAACCCATAATGGCATCTGGAATTCACTTTCAAATACTGCAGGGGAAAAAAGTGGGTGGAGGGGGGACAAAACAAGAATGGTAAATGGTGATAATTGTTGAAACTGAGTGATGTCTACACGGGGACTCATTTTACTATTTTGTATTTTCATTTACAGACATACTATCATTTACACACAAATTTTTACCACAGTATAGATGTCATCTCCCTAAATAATGAAATTATCTCACCTATTCCTTATATTATTATTGGACTTTTTCACAGCATTTTCATAGAATTCTCCTTCTGATTCAATTCTCCTTTTGACCATTATAGAGATATAACTGCATGAGAGAAGTTTCTAGAGCATTCAGTTAATTAAGAACACCACCTACCCTGAGCTTGTAGAAGTTTAAGGGTAGCTTCGGCTCTGGCTCTGGCTTCTCTCTGGGATTTAGTTAAAAGTTTCCCTTCTTTTTTCAAGCGTTCTTTTCTTTCCTTTTCTTTTTGCTTTTTCCTTTCTCTTTTTTCTTGTTCCAATCTTTCCTATAAAAGAATATGCATCAGACAAAAATTGTATTAGCTTAATGAATTACAAAATTTAAACATAAACAACCCAAATTTCTAACAAAGCTCTTGAGATACATGCAAAGTATTATGTTAGGAGCTTCCAAATGAAAGTACTTTAAATGTTGTACATAACGAGTATTAATTAGTATCACATGAGAGTCGACTATGTGTTGGCAATGATGCACAAGCAACTCCTGCTCTGTACCTGAGGAAATAAGGTAGGATTTTCTCTACCCCTTCATCTTATTATTTATATCTGAACAATAATGTAACTGAAATACCATACAACTAAGAAATTTTTAGAATTAGAAAGCTAGAGATATTTTACGAGAAGTGGATTTAAGTAAAACACCAAGTCAAAGTCAGCAGCTTCACAATGACATACCTCTTCTTTACGCTTGGCTTCCAATTCTTCAAGGCGTTTTATCCGTTCTTCCTCTTCTCTCTTCTGTCTTTCCTCTTCTTCTTTAAGCTTAGCCAGAGCTTCCTGCATAGCCTTAACTGTGGCTTTGCTAGGTCCTTTTTTCTTCTCTTTTTCTTTTTCTTCCTTTTCTCCTTTCTTTTTCTTCTTATCTTTTTTCTTTTTGTCTCCTTCATTGTCATCTACCAAAAAAGAAAAGAGGCAAAGAATATTTTTAAAAGTTGTTTCCTACGGCAATGGTAAGCAAACCCCAGAGTGCAGGAACCATAATGGGCCAGGGCTGATGCCAGCAGCAGGCTAAGGGCTTTGGATATCTAGGCCCCCTGAGCACTTGAGTAACCAGAAGAGCTCCAAACAACCCAGCTGGCCTCCTTAGAAGCCTACAATGCTGGTGCTACTCTGAGTTGTCCTGAGGGATTCAAGAAGATGTGAGGATCCTGTCATCAGGGAGAAGATATACAGTACCTAACGTATCTTCTAAATCCATGGTGTCTGAATTCATAAATTCTGTAGCTAGTTTTGCTTCTGTAAGATGGGGATGATAAGAATGATGCCTACCTTAAGGGGACAGACATTAGAAGAATAAAATACAAAAATATAAATATATTCCAAGAACTCTATAGCATTATGCTAAAGAATTAAAGATTATGAAGCTACTTTCTTGATGGTTCTCCTCAAACATGTCCAGACAGTAAAAATTTGAGTGGTTAAAAAGCTATGTCAATTTTCCCATTAAAAGTTTTCTAGTCTAAAGAAAAATTATATAAGTCATTTGATCTTTGTTTCCATTCTGAATAAGGGGGAAATTTAACTAGAAAGCTTCTTTTTTGCTAATTGGTTCTGGTACAAAAAAGTGCCTCAGTATTGCTTAAAAGATGTTAACTAATTTCGGCATGTTACTTTTCCATTTCATAGACCAAATTAGGTTTTTAAAAACAGGAAAGAATTCAGATATTATCTCACACTGAGGCATCAAAAGGAAGAGTAAATTTTTCATTAGGCAACTTCCAGCCTTCATGAGCAGCAAAAAACTGTTTTCCACGGTGAAATTCCGTAAAAATCCTAGTGTGTGCACAAATCATTTGAAAGATATTTTATACTACATACATAAATGTTTAACAGTGAAAATCAATTAAAGGAGTACTTAGACCTAATTTTAAGTTTCTTACAATTTAGTACCTTTATAAGCAAGGACAAACAACAAAATGACTTTGGGGCATAATAATCAAAACTTAGGCTGATTATGAATCCAAGCCTTTTGCCCTTTCCTCGATATTATTACCAACCTTCTGCAGCCGTGGGAGCCTCTCCTTTCTCTTCAGAGGCAGGAGGTGCTCCAGAATCAAGAGTCACTTTGGATTTTACAGCTTCCTCTTCAGATTTCCTTTGAGATTCTTTTGGTTTACTCTGATCCTTTTTACCAGATTCTAGCTCTTCTTTTTCTTTCAGCTTCCGCAGTTTTGCCTTTTCTTCATCCCGCTTTTTTCTCTCACGCTCTTTCTTTTCTGCCTTCTTTTGAGCCATTGTCTTAATTTTGAAGGAGGAGTCGTCATCTTCATTCCCACTCTCTACATTAGGACCTGGCTTATTTTTCTGATTCTTTTTCTGTCCTTTCCTGGACTGCAAAACTTCATCTGATTCATCACCACTTTCACCAGAAGAATGTACTCTCGTACAATCTTTAATTCTTTTACTGTTATCCTCATCCTCTTCTGACCCATCCTGCTTCTTATTCGATTTTTGAGCTTTCCCTTTAGCTTTTTTGGAGAGTTTACTAAAATCATCATCATCATCACTCCCAGAGTACATTTCCATTTTGGGTTTTGCAGTCTTTTTTGATTTTGAATCTTTATCTTCCAATTCTTCACTATCATTATCTTCAAAACTTTGTTTTTTGCCTTTCTGTCCTTTCTTTTTTTTATCTTGTTTTGAGGTGAATTCATCTTCATTATTTTCTGTTGGCTAAAAAATTTCCATTGTTAGAAATATTAACAGAGTTATACTTTATTTTTTTAATTAATTGAAACTCCTCAAAGTCATGTACTTCGTTAAGTACACATGGAAAAATTATCGAAATAATCTTAAAATAAAGTTGTTTTTACAAGAATATAAAACTCAAGCAAGTACCAGAAGCTAGCCTAGGCCTCAGGTACATCTCATAATCACTGTAAATTTCAGAATCCAGGCACTCTGAAGCAAACACTAATCACCAGTCCACATTTATTACCTTCTTCAAATGGCATAAAAAGCCTAAGGGGAAAATTGAAAGAAAAAATATCCATCCCTCTCTCATTACTCTGAGGCTTATCCAATTTCAAAGGATGGAAAGAAGTATCAATAATATAGAAAACCGCGGGTAGAGTTGGGAAATGTTATATTTCCAAATGTACCAATTTTATAAATAGACAACATATCACAAAATACCTTTAGATTCCCAAATAAAGCATCTTTATATTTGTGAAAGGTTTTAAAATGCATTACTGATTCCCTAAAAACTGTTTTCCCCCTTTGGCATCAAATTTTATGGAAACTTTTAACTAACACATATATGTTGCTCAAAGGTTTCCAAAAGCAGTCCCTAAAACTGGAGCTACGAAGAAGCATAAACAGGTAACAACAATCTGTATTTCACCTTTGCTGTAGCAGTTTCTCTGTCAGCTTTGATGCCTTGAGCTTCCCAAGACAATTCTTCCAGTTCTTTCAGGATATCATCTTCACTAGAAATGGATTAAAATATATTTTGAGGTACTGAATTAGTTTAATAAGTAAATCTAGTACGAAAGCTAATAAAAATCAAATATATTTAAAATATACTTACTCAAAATCTTGCTTTTTTTTCTCCTTTTTCTTTTTCCCCTTTGCCTTTTGAGGTTCCTGTTCCTTAGCAGCACCAGCTCCTTCTATTTCTGCAGCCAAGGCATCGAGATCAATGTCATCCTTGGCACTTAAATGAAAACACAGAAGACCTAAATGTTACTCCAGAGCAAAATAATCTGTCACATTCACTTACAGAGAATTTTTTTTTTCACTTTAGCCTTTTTCATGCATTAGCAGCCCACTGAGAAAAATCACTTGGCAAGTTCTTTCATGACAACACTTGAGTTATAACTACTCATAAGCCTCTCTGTATCTGCTTCAATAAAGTTTGAGTTACACTCAAACCCAGAAAGAGTTATAATGAACAGCTCCAGGAAGAAAATCTAGGTAATCAAGAAAAGGAAATTCATGCTTGTATTCAAGTAACCCTAAAAAAGAAAAAAGAAGAAAGAAAGGAAAAGAAAAGGAAATTCACTTTTGTTGATACCAAAGTTTTTTTTGTTGAGTGTCTGAATGGAATTATTTATAAAATTAAGAAAAGTTAAAAGAGAAAAAGATTCTTATTATTTGATTATCAATAACACCTAAATCTTTGGAAACCTTTGCATTTTTACTTGGAATAGCAAAAATTTTAGAGCTGAAAGGGACTTTCATCTAGTCTCTCATTTTACCAAAGGGAAAACAAGATGCACAAAGTTTGAATGCTTTCAGCAAAACATCACCACACATCCAAATCTAAATAAATTAGGAATGATTCAGTAAATAAAATACCCCAAAATCCAGAACCAAACCTGGTCACAATCTTTTACATTCCTGGTTTCATTTCTGGTTCCATCCCACAATGTCCTCCATCTACCAATATTACTTGGAGTAATAAACCAAACTAAGTTCCAGTTAAAACCTACAGAAAACAAAGGAGGTCAGTCTGAGATGTACAAGTAGAAAAGGTGTATGAATTCAAATAAATGATACAATCAGAAAACAAAGACCTCACGCAACAGAGCCTCCACTGGTGGATGCCTTGTTGTGAAGATGCTTCACTTCAATAAAGATAATTCCTAATATGATAAACATAAAGATTATGTAACAAGACACGGAGGACACAGAATTTATCCTCAAGGAGCTTCACAGAAGAGACAGAGAGGGAGAGAGAGCAAACGAGTAAAAAACCAGAAATTGCAAAATGCTAAATGCCATGAATTAAAGGAATTTAATGCTTTTACAGGTGACCAGAATTGAAATGTGTTCCCTTTTGTCCTACATTTTAGACAGTGTATTTAAGGGGGATCATAGAACACTGAACCACTGTACTGGTGGTGACTTCCCAAAGCACCAAATCCAGAATGAGAAAGTCAGACACTTCCTAGCAGAGGAGAAACCTAGACCCAAGTTACTGAAGGAGAAAAAGGAGTTAACCAGGCAAAGAGAGTGCATATATCAGACACAATGAGCACAAAAACCTAAAGGTAATACATGTATGGTGCCTCAGGAGGACTCATTAAAAGGTATCTGAATCAACTGAGAAGCTTTTTGTAGGTTACTGATTTCTTGAGCCCACTCAAGATCTAGGGAACCAGAAACTGGGGGTCGGAGCTAGGCAGCGTATTTTTAGCAATCTTTCCAGGTCAGATTTGAATGGTTTTTCTTTCTTTATAAATGAAGAAACTGAGGCACAGAGAACTTGTCCAGGATCACACAGGCAGAGATGGGATTTGAACCCAGGAAGTTCTGATTCCGAAGTCAAAGACAGTAACCCTGCTGGCATAATCAAATTTGCATTTCAGAAAGCTACCTCTGGTATAAATGATAGGGCAGAATCCCAACTAGTCAAGCAGCAGGAAAAGGTAGGAAGCTTTTCTAGCTAATTGGGATGACAAACACACATCTGACTTGCAGCAGTGGCAGGCAAGATGAAGATATATGAATCAGATAAATACTAAGGAGATCAATCAGCAACACAAATGACCAACTGGTTGTATATAGAAAGGGGGAGGGAAGAATCAAGGATAATTCTCAGGTCTCATCAGGTAACAGAAACCTTAGTCTGGCCCAGCATCAACCATCCGGCCCAGCAGCATGAGATCAACCAGTACCATCTCCAAAGGCAGCTCTGCCAATATTCCACACTAGAGCAGATTCCGAGACAGGGTGACAAGGGAAGGTAGTTAATGATCGATGCTTGGCACCTCACCTCCAAAAACTTGCCAGTCCTCATCTGACTCTATTCACCTCATAAAAATAGTCTGTGATTTGCTATACTGCCACAGTATTCATTAACAAACATCTCCAGAATAACAAAACATTGGACTACATCTGTATGCTGCTGAGTTTGAAAAGCTCTTCTGGCTAGTAATAGAAATTAACAGCTTCTGAGTGCTTACTGTTTATCAGGAATTGTGCTGACCAATTATTAGACATACTGTATGTCATTTAATCCTCAAAACAACTCTATTAAATTAAGCTTAAAGATGATGATACTTTATAAAAGGCATCCAGCTAGAAAGTTACATACCAGGAACTCAAGCCCAAATCTGACACCAAGATTGTACTGACTTCCTAGAAAATGGGAAATACAGTAATCAAGTTTCTGAAAATTATTTGACACAGCTACAAAATATATCAATGATATAACAACATGCTTAACAGTCTTACCTACCATGGTTTCTAAAGTGTTCTTTCAATGTGTACTGAACTTCCTACCCCTGATTCAAGAGAATGTCCTAAAATGTCAACCATATTACAAAAGTTCATGAAAGTGACACATAACATCAGTTATTTAACTTGAGACTTTTATACTCTACCTACATTTCAGCCCTACTTTTCTACCTACCCATTACATACTACAGCTTAAAGATTTCAGTAAACCAAGAGTCAAATCTACAATCCAGTCATGCTGATAATGAAAGCTTTAAAACCTTTAAGGAATGTGTAAGAGTATTTTTATGTAGGTACATCTTTCTGCAGATCATTTTTCCTTTATCAAAGCTACAGTATTCTTACTAATATTTGCCCTTCCAGCCCCAATCCTTTATTCTAAACTTACTGCAGACTTCCAGAAATAAAAGGCAATTTTCTATGGTATTCAACTCAGTTTTTTCACAGGCCACATTCCTCCATCATCAGGAGAGAAAAAATGTTATAACTTAATGGCCTTTAAACAGTGAAGCTATTGGGACTTCCCTGGTGGCGCAGTTGTTAAAAATCCGCCTGCCAATGCAGGGGACATGGGTTTGATCCCTGCTCCGAAAAGATCCCACATGCCACGGAGCAACTAAGCCCGTGCGCCACAACTACTGAGCCTGTGCTCTAGAGCCCGCACATCACAACTACTGAAGCCCACACGCCTAGAGCCCGTGGCTCTGCAGCAAGAGAAGCCACCGCAGTGAGAAGCCGACGCACCGCAACAAACAGTAGCCCCTGCTTGCTGCAACTAGAGAAAGCCCATGCACAGCAACAAAGACCCAATGCAGCCAGAAATAAAAATTAATTTTTTTTAAATGAAGCTATTAAAAATATTGCATATGTAGTTTTTTTAAGAAACAGCCAAACTACTTTCTAAAGTGGCTTCACATTTAATATTCACAACAACAATGAATGGAGATGTGTATTTTTTCCACATCCAGTATTTAGTATTTTTCCACATCCAGCCGGTATTTAGCATTATGGCTACTTTTCCTTTAAGCTGTTCTAATAGATGTGTGGTGCTATCAAGGTCTTCCTTTGCATTTCCTTAAAGGCTAGTGAAGTTAAACATTTTTTGGTCTACTTTGCCATACATATACATTCCGTGAAATGTGTCTTCATATCTTTTACCCTTTTCTAATTGGATTGATTTTCTTTTAATGTTGAGTTTTGAGAACTCTTTATACGCCCTTTATGAGTCATCAGTCAGATATGTGGTTTACATATACTTTCTTCCAATTTGTAGCTTGTCTTTTCATCCACTTAACAGGGTTTTTTAACCAGAGCAAAAATTTTGAATTTTCATGAGGTACCATTTATCAAGTTTTTTCTTTATGCTTTTGGTGTCATGAAAAAGAACTCTGCACCAACTCATAGGTCCTGAAGATTTTTAACTATGTTATATTCCAAAAGTTGGGTATTTTAATGTTTTGTATTTTGATCTTTTGCCTATGGTTATCCAACTGCTCCAGCAACATTTCAACTATCCATCCTATATACGTAAAATTGCTTTTGCACCTTTGTCAAAATCCACTTGGCTATACTTGTATGGGGCTATTTCTAAGTCCTCTATTCTGCTCTATTGATTTATGTCTTTCCCTCTGACACTAATAAACTGTCATGATTAAGGTAGCTACACAAAAAGTCTTGAAATCAGAGTGATTGCTTTTATTCTTCTTTTTCAGAATTGTTTTATCTATTATTAATTCCTTCAAACTTTTCAAATAAAATTTGGAATATTCTTGTGTGAATTTACAAAAAGAATCTTGCTGTAATTTTTTTAATATTATTATTTTTTTAATTTTTGGCTGTGTTGGGTCTTTGTTGCTGTGCACGGGCTTTCTCTAGTTGTGGTGAGTGGGGGCCACTCTTCATTGTGGTCCATGGGCTTCTCATTGCCATGGCTTCTCTTGCTGCAGAGCACGGGCTCTAGGTACGTGGGCTTCAGTAGTTGCAGCACATGGGCTCAGCAGCTGTGGCACACAGGCTTAGCTGCTCCGCGGCATGTGGGAACTTCCCGGACCAGGGCTCGAACCCATGTCCCCTGCATTGGCAGGTGGATTCTTAACCACTGCGCAACCAGGGAAGTCCGTCTTGCTGTAATTTTAATAGTAACTGCATTAACTGTATGTGAATTTAAAGAAAACCAACATCTTTATTATGTTGAGTTTTCCAATCCATGAACACCATATTTCTCCATTTATTTAGATCTTCTTTGATTTCTTTCATCAGTGTTTTGCGATTTTCACAAAATTCGTATTTAATTTTTAAAGTAATCTGAAGTGGTATTTTTAATTTCTGTTTCTACATACTCATTTCTAATATACAAAATGTGACTGAATTTTTTTATGTTGATCTGGTATACTGCAACCTTGTTGAACCCACTTATTAGTTCTTTGCACTAAGCAAGGAGTTACGATTTGAAATTAAAAGTACAACCCACCCCCCAAAAAAAACTAGACTTCATCAAAATTTAGAATATTTGCTGTGCAAAAGACCATATGAAGGGAATTTAAAAAAACAAGCCACAAAGTGGAAGAAAATATCTGCAAACTACATATCTGAAAAAAAACCTAGTATCTAGACTATGTAAAGAACTCTCAAAACACATCAGTAAAAACCCAAACAATCCAATTAGAAAATGGACAAAAGGCATGAAAAGACATTTCACTAAATAGTATTTACAGATGGCAAATAAAGGATGTTCCACATCAATAGCCATTTGGAAAATGCAAATTAAAATCACAATGGGATATCACTACACCATCAGAATGTCCTCTCCCCAAACAACAGTGGTAATAACCAGTGTTTGCTGAAGATGAAGAGGACCTGGATCACGCACACATTGCTAGTGAAAATGTAAGCTGGTACAGCCACTCTGGAAAACAGTCTATCATTTTCCTGGAAAACTAAAAATGTACTTACCATATGACCCAGCAATTGCACTCATGCACATTTATCCCAGGGTAACAAAAAATTTATCTCATGCAGAAACTTGTAGACAAATGCTTGTAGCAGCTTCATTTGCAACAGCCAAAAACTGGAAACAACCCACATGTCCTTCACAATGGGTGAATGGTTAAATAAACTGTGGTTCATCCCCATTCCATGGAATACTATTCAGCAATAAAATGGAATGAACTATTGATACATGCAACAACTTGGACGGATCGCAAGAAAATCAGACTGACTGGAAAGAAGCCAATTCCCAGAGGTTATATACATATATGATTCCACTTATAAAATTTTTTATTTTCAAAAATTCATATAAGTACAGAAAAGATTCATGGTTACTAGGGTTTAGTGAGAGGAGGTGCACAGAAAGGAGATGATTATGGTTACAAATGAACAACATGAGAGATCCTTGCAATGATGGTCTGTATTTTGACTGTGGTAGTGAATATACAAATCTGCACATGTGATAATACTGTATAACACTAAACACAAACATACACGTGTGCTAGTGCAAGTGAAACTGGGAAAATCTGAATATGATCAGTGAACTATATCAGTGTCAATATCCAAGTTGTGATACTGTACAGTTTTACAAGATGTTATCATTAGAGGAAACCAAATAAAAGACACAGGAATCCCTCTATTAATTCTTACAACTGCGTGTGAATCTATAATAATCTTAAAAGTTTAATTAACAAAACTGAACACTGTTTAAAGGAGAAGGCAAATCTCAAACTGAGAAAAAGAAATGTCTGCAATACATATATCTGATGAAAGATTTGTCTATAATATATAAAAAAATTCCTATGACCCAACATTAAAGAACACAATTTTTAAATGGGCAAATGATTTCAACACTTAACCAAATGAGATATAATGATGGGAAATAAACACATGACAAGATGGTCAGTAACACTAGCTAATAAGGAAATGTAAACAAAATCACAATGAGATGCCACTACACAGCCACCAGAATGACTAAAATGAAGGGCTGATAATATTAAGTGTTGAGAGAGGATGTGGAGCAACTGGAACACACCTCAAGAGAGAATGCAAAACTGGCACAGCCACTTTGGAAAAGACAGTTTGGCAGTTTCTTCAAGTTAAACATACACACTTACCATATGACCCAGCAATCCCACTCCCAGGTATTTACCTAAGAGAAACGAAAACATATGTCCACACAAAGACTTGTACTCAAATGTTCACAGCAGCTTTATTCATAATCACAAGAAGCTGGGAAAAAAACCCTAAATATCCAACTACCAGATAATTCATAAACAAATTGTCATCTATCCACACAAAAGGATACTACTCAATGATAAAAGTAAAGAATGTTACACACACCAACATGGATGAATCTCAAGAGATTATTTCACGTGACACCCAGCCAGCCAATAAAGGCTACATTCTCTATGATTCTAGTTATAGGAATTTTTAGAAAAGTGAAAACTACAGTGACCCCCCCACACACACAAAACACAAAAGCTACAGTGATTTTTGGCCAGAAAGGACTGCCTACAAAGGGTCATGAGGGAACTTTTTGGGTTAATGGAAATATTCAGTATCATGATTGTGGTGAAAGAAGCACAACTGTATAATTTATCAAAGTTTATTAACTCCACACTTTAACTTTGTGTATTTTATGTCAATTACACCTCAAAGAAGAGGATTTAAATTTCTAGGGATACTATAAAAACGGATGAGAAGTTACAGAATGGATTTATCAGTTTACTGAAAACAGTTAAGGTTAAAATTACATATACCTAATATAAGTCATTTTACCCATTTTTATAAGTTATGAAAATAAGAATCAACATATAATATTCTTATAACACCTTAATTTCTATTAACACACTGTAATATGTAACTAAAATGACATTACTGTGAAGGAATCTTTTAAAAACATGGTATTTCTTTATTAATTGTATGTAAAGGCATGTGATCAACTTTGGTGCTTGGCTTTTTGGAATAATCAAAAATCATGCATAAAAATAAAAAATGAGACACTTCACTTTGAGATCAATACACTAAAGTCTTTTAAATACACATAATATAACCAAAAAAAAAGTTCATTGTAAAGAAGTAAAAGAAAAATTAACCTGTTTGCAAATCTCCTCTCAACTCCAAACTGGCAAATTTTATTTATTAATGACAGACATTTTCCACTAAAAAGTTGTCTGATTTAAGTTCTACAAGAACATAGGAAATCCAACCCTTTCCCAAATTATTCCACAATTCAAAATCTCCAAGCTTCCTAGGATTCTCTCCTACCAACCCCTCTTCTCCAATGTCTCTTTTATTTTTACCCTCTGAGGAGGTCTTACATCCTGGCTCAAAATTTCTCTGACACGGAGAGGTGGGGGTCTATGCCCCTCCCCTTTAATATGAGACTGTGTGACTGTTTACTCAACAGAATATGGCAGAAATGATGTTACAGTTTCTAAGCCCAGGCCTTGTACTTCCGGGCTCTTGAGACATTCACTGCCAAGCTAATGAGGATGTCCAGGCCACATAGAGAGGCCAAGGATAGGTGTTCCAGCTGACGTGCCAACCAACAGCGACTATCAACCACCAGAAGTGAGTGATGTGCAAGTGAGATAGCCTTTAAGATGACTCCATCACAGTCATCATTTACCTGCAACCACATGGAGACCTCCAAGCAAGACCAATCTGAGCTCAGTCAACCCTCAGAACCAAGAGAGACGATGATTTTTGTTGTTTTAAAGAACTAAGTTTGGGATGACCTGTTATGATACAATAATAACTGAAGCACTCACATATTTCCTTCTGTTCCTAATGGATACCAGGGCCTACAGAAGTAGAAACCACACCAGTCCTTCTTCTCTCCCCACCCCCAACTTGACCAAAAAAAAAAAACAAAAAAATCGTTCGTAATCTATAAGTACTGAGGGAAGACACGGTGATATCTAACTCTTTGCACTTTACTTTGGTTTCCGCTCCTCCCCTGAAACAGGCTCAATAAGAACAAACAAGAGGAAAAACATAAGGAGGAATCCCATTCTTTACTCCTAACTCTATCCCAGCAGTGCCAGTAGCAATAAAGGAAACAGGGAAATCTAGTCCTGCCTTCTCCATAAGATGCCTTTTGGCATCTCTTTTCCTCCAACCTCCATCTCTTCTTACCCAGCACTCCTTGACAACAGTTACATATACAAACAGGAAAAACAAGACGAAAGAGGGAAAAGCCCAGCAGTCATTGCTCCTCACTAGCTCTCACCATTTGCACCACAGAACCCAACAGTTCTCACTCCCCACTCCCTCAATGGAGTTCTATCTTAAGCACCACAACCCATTAATAAATTCAGAGGTACCCAATCATGTCTTTTAAAAAAAAAAAAAGCCCTCCGAGCTTAAAACTTCCTTATGAACTGGGTCTTGACGTCTTTAAAAGGCATGTGAAACCATACTGCATTGTACAATGCAAGCAAACAGAATGTATCTTATTACCTTCCACAAAATTCAGCCTAATTCTCCACTTTCTAAATACCTCATAGTTGAAGCGGTAAGAATACAAAAGCAAGTATAAGCGTCATCTTGTAGACCTCCAAATATATATAATCTAAGTTCACACATTTTTATGGATTCCAATGTGTTTAACTATAAAATCAGTTCAGGGCAGCTTTGTCAAACCAGAACGAGTACCCTCAAAGGGGGCAGGTGAGATGGGTTAGGAGGGGGAAATGCAGGGTTGTGGGTAATTTCAGAAGACTGAAAATTCTCCCCAGTAACTTTTATCTGTTTAATTTGTTTTAATTTTAATATGATAATAAAGATTTAAGATGAACATTCCATGAATCAGATGGATAGACACTTTATCACAGTTCACTGTCATAGAATATCAACCAAAGCTTTTGTTTACAAACCTCCACTAAGTTGTTTCACATTGACAAAAAAGAGCAGAAGCAGACTTAATATGTAAATTAAACATTTTAGCCAAGAGAAGGTGCTATAAAACAAAGGTGAAAATCATTAGTTCATACTGAAAAAGATTAGAAAAATTGAGTTCTTACTAGTATATGCATGCTGAACTCAAAAGAAGTCCATTATAGGAGGCAATACTTTCACAATAAAATAGTGATTTAGATCCTGCTACTCAAAAGAATAATTCCAAGATAAGCAGCATTAGTATCACGTCGTTAGAAATGCAAAATCTTAGGTCCCACCCAAGACTTACTACATCAAAATCCTCATTTCAACAAGACCCACAGGTGAATCACATGCACATTAAAATATGAGAAGCACTGGTTTAGAATCAACAAAACACTATCATTCACATCAATACTGCAAATTTGAACTTCAAAAATTTTTATATTTGTTACTGTTTGATATAAGTGTATTTAGGGTTTCATAACTGCCTAAGAGGTAAGCTTATACTTAGTTTTGGGCCTGAAGATATATATATAAGCAATATTAACAATTTAAGTCAACATTCTCAATTAACACCTTAAGGACACAAGTTATGTTCTAAATTAATTGATTAGACTGAGCACTTCCGGCACTCAACAGATAGTGAACTCATAGTCTTTGTATTCCGTAAAAGTAACTCTGGTCCTTAATCACTGTTAAAGGATTCTTCCCACCTAATTTCCTTTTGTAACACCTGGCATAACCAAACAAATATTAATAAAATTTTGATGCAGGTAACCACGCTCAGGAGAGGGTACTTCTCACTTGCTGAACAACATCATCATTAGAATGGTCTGGCTGCACCTGTGTGCAGGCACTAGCTAAGCAACTGAAGATCTTGGATACTCTTCATCATCAACCCTTGCTTCTCAAGAGACAGAAACATACAGCACACTCCCATTCCTTCCAATCTGGCTTGCTCTCCTGACGGCAGATTTAATTACAAAGGGATCTGGAAGACATATGTAATAACTTTAGGATGCAAATTTTAAATCTCAAGGGTAGCACTCCCATACTTAACCTAAACTTCACATTCTCCCTTCATCTCCTCACTGTATTATCTGTGCATATGCCTATTTGCTATATTAAAACGTAAGCTCCTTTGAGAACAGAAAACTCCTTTTTGTGTGCTCAATTCACCTCCCATTTTAAAAAATAAATTTATTTATTTTTGGCTGCACTGGGCCATCGTTGCTGCATATGGGATTTCTCTAGTTATGGTGAGTGGGGTGGGGGTGGGGGGGGCTACTCCTCACTGCAGTGCGCAGACTTCTTATTGCAGTGGCCTCTCCCGCTGTGGAGCACGAGCTCTAGGCCTCAGTAGTCATGGCACACAGGCTCAGTAGTTGTGGCACACGGGCCCAGTCGCTCCACAGCATATGGGATCTTCCCAGACCAGGGCTTGAACCCGTGTCCCCTACACTGGCAGGCAGATTCCCAACGACTGCGCCATCAGGGAAGTCCCCACCTCCCTACCTTTTACAACTAGCAACCAGCAGGGAATGTAACACGTTCTTAACAGGCACTATTAAAGAAAAAGCCCTATTTTAGAATGGCAACCACAATTTTCATACAATTAGAAAGGCTCACCAGTTTCATCACTGAGGCTTAATAAAAACCTCATCTACCACCATAACAATTACTATATTTTGATCGTAGTAAAACTTCCAAATTGAATTTTCTGAAACAATAAATTCAAACACCAGTTTAAAAATCCCACTGAGAGAAAACTACAGCTACATTTTATTTACCTAACACAGACAAGGATCCTTTGTATGTGAATTTTCCAAATGAATGGAAACGTACCATTCTTTAAAATTCATATTTAAAATGTAAATCTTTCTTATAACTGATTATGTAACCCCCTGAAATATTTACAAATGTCTGGGGTTGTTTCAGTACAATGGGGAGAGGGAAGACGAGAGTGGGTAGGATGCAGATGAAACAAGGTTATCTGTGAATCAGTAATATCTGAAACTGGGTGATGGACAGGTGTGTTCATTAAACTATTCTACTTCTATATACGTTTGAAATTTTTTATTTAAGAAAATTTACACTATAGTAACCAAAACAATGTGGTACTGGTATAAGGATAAACATAAACATCAAAAGAATAAAACTGTCCAGAAATAAATCCATTCATCCATGGCCAATTGATTTGACAGTGGTGCCAAAACCAATCAATAGGGGAAGAAATAGTCTCTTCAACAAATGGTGCTGGGACTA